AAGAAGCAAAGAGACAAACAGGAAGAGATACACAGCGACACACAGAAAGAGACAGAGGGAGACAGACTACAACCACTCAGACAATTTGTAACTGCAAGAAGTGTCTCCTTGGCCATATTTGTCTTGTGCTTTGTCTCCTTTGTCTCCTTGCTCGCCCCTGTCTCCCTCCGCTCTCTCCTTCGTCTCTAATGTTTGCTCTGTCTCCCTTCTCTCTCTTGCTTCTGTCTCCTCTTTTGTCTGTCTCCTGTGTCTCTTCTACCTCTTCTGTCTCCTCCGCCTCCTCCTTCGCCCTTGTCTCTTCCGTTGTTTCTGTCTCCTCTGCCTCCTTCGTGTCTCCTCTGTCTCATTTGTCTCCTTTGTCTCCTGCAGCTCTCCTGTCTCTTCTGTCTCTTTTGTCTCCCATACACTTCATTTTCGTGTGTCTCCTCCGTTTTTTCATGCTAAGACGGAGGGCACAGAGAAAGAAGGTAGAGAAACAAGACAGAGGAGAAATAGAAAACAAAGGAAACAGGGGAAACAGAGGAAACAGAGAAGAAACGTCTCTTCCCTGCCCACAAATCCAACAATCTCTCACCCCGACAACCTCTATTCCGGCTCAGAGACATGGACCTGCCGGAGTCTCTTCTTTCTTCTCTAACAGATATCAACATAAACCAGGTGAAGTCCAGAAGCTTCAATGCCCAGGGTTTAAGGGTCAATAAACACACCTAAACCCTAAACCCTAAAGCCCGAAACCCTAAAGCCCCACATGCTGAACATGAGAGAAAGAGAGGAGGGTGAAACGTTGGGGTTTAGGGTTTAGGGTTTAGGGTTTTGGTTTTAGGGTTTGGGGTTTAGGGTTTAGGGTGTAGGGTTTAGTAGTCACGCTGTTTGTGTGTCAGTTGGTGCAAGTCCTTCAAGACCGCCATCAAGGAGGGGCCCCCGGGCCTCTCCCACAAGTCTACTGCTGCTGTTGCAGCAGCAGCAACAACTGTCTCCTTGTGTCTCCGTGTCTCTTGCAGGTTGTCCCTGGGCGGACCCACCCGATAATGCAGAGTACAATAGCCATCCCCAGTGGCTTCATCGTATCCGCGCTCAGGCTAGGAGACACACCCTAAGGACCCTTGAGGGGCCCCCTGAGGGCCTTCAGGGGCCCCTTGGAGCTCATTAGAGGGGCCTCTAAACTGTAATCACTAAGCACTAAACACTAAAGCCGCTTTAAGGGCCCCCCAGGGGCCCCTGAGGGCCGGAGCTCATTAGAGGGGCCTCTAAACTGTAATCACTAAGCACTAAACACTAAAGCCGCTTTAAGGGCCCCCCAGGGGCCCCTGAGGGCCGTTTTAGGGTCCCTCTAGAGGTCTTTTAAGGGGCCCCCTGAGGGCGCCAAAGTGCCCCGTTTGGCTGTAAGGGGCCGGTGAGGGTCTTTGAGGGCCCCCTGATGGTCATTAGGGGCCCCCCGGGGATCCTAGGAGCCCCAGGTGGGGGCAGGGGGCCCCCCAGCCGGTTTTGTGGCTTGTCTGCTTCTTCTTTGTGTACGAGCTGTTGCAGCTTAACTAATAAATAATAAAAGAAGTTCGTAGAGAAAATAGGCTGGTGAATGCCTACAGAATGAGCGTAAAAATCCCTAGAGAATAATGAACAAATACGTATTGGGGCCCCCATGGGGGCCCCAGAGGTGGCCCTGAGGGGCCTCGGAATCCCTCTTAGGGGCTCGTCAGGGTCTACCAGGGGCCCCCCTGCCTGAAGAAGGGACAAAGGAGACACCTTGCAGCGCCTTAAGGCCCTCACATATAACTCATTGCTGCAGCTAAATGGGGCCCACGGTAGCTGGCTCTGCTGCTGCAGCCTTGACGACACAGCAGCAGCGCTGCAGCAGACACGCATTCTTTGCATGCCCCGGGCCCCAGAAGCCACACACACTAAACTCGAACTCTGAACCCTGGGGCATAAAAACCCTAGGGTTTAGAGCTAGGGTTTAGAGGGTTAGGGTTTAGGGTTTAGAGAGGCCAGCGGGTTTGAAGGTGGTCGCGGAAGAACTTCTGCACGACCCAACGCTCACACTGTTGAGCAACCTGGTGTACGTACACCGCAAACAGCAGCACAGCAAACAGCAGACAGCAACAAAATCACTTAAAAGGGGTTAAAATGCAGGGGATATAAATGTACAAATAAGCTTGAGAAGGACACAGACAAAAACAAACTCCTACGCGCAGACGCACATGCTCACGCGCAGCACACGCAACAGCAGCAGCAGCAACTGCAGCAGCAGCCACAACATTAGTAGCACGAACAGCAGCAGCAGCAGCCACAACAGTAGTAGCACGAACAGCAGCAGCAGCAGCCACAACAGTAGTAGCACGAACAGCAGCAGCAGCAACAGAAGCAGCAGCTAGCGTGTTCTGACCGAGTGCAGCTCTGCGGGCCCCACACCAAGCTGATCTGCGACCTTCATTAATGCGACGGTGTACATAAAGGGGAGACGGCCTGCAGGGAGTAGAGACACCCGAAGAGACAAAAGAGACAGCTCAGCATTTCAATAGACAAGTGTGTCTCCGTCCCTCTGTCTGTCTCTTGCATTTGCTGCCAAGCCTCTTTTCTCTGCTGCGATGCAGAGACAGCAGCAACTGCCGCCATTGCTGCGCCCGCCGATAAGGGTTTCATTCGGGCTAGGGTTGCGCTAGGGTTTAGGGTTTAGGGTTTAGAGGTGCTGCGCACTTGTTGCAAAACTGCATGCAGCCTCCAGCCTCAGAGGCAAAGCCCTGCCGGGGCCGCAGCCTCCTCCCTCTAAGAAACTGCTGCTGCCGTCCCTCAAGCCGAAGCGAAGAGGAACAGCAGCAGCAGCAAACGAACTGAACGACCAGTTGGGGGCCCAGTACTTGCTGTGCAATGCGTCGAGAGAATCCTGCTGCTGCTGCTGCTGATCCTGCTGCTGCTGCTGCTGCTGCTGGTCCTCCAGCTGTTGCTGCTGGTCCTGTTGCTGGTCTTGCTGCTGCAGTTGGGGCCCTCTAGGCGACTGTTCGTCAGAGCCGACCGTAGGCGAGGCGCACAAGGATGCGGAGCCTTCAGGTGCGGCTGTTGCTGCTGCGGAGGAAGAGTGTTGTTGCTGCTGGGCTGCAGCAGCAGCAGCTGCTGCTGCTGCATTCTTGTACGGCTCCAGCAGCTCCGCCACCGCATTTACAAGACTCTGGTTTTCTGCTGCCGCTGCAGCTGCCGGTGAATCCCTCAGCAGCAACTCCCCAACTGTCTCTTCTCCATCTGCTGCGGGTTGTTGCAGCAAATCGTCAGCAGCGCCCATCTGCTGCAGCAGCGAAGCTGCCAGGAGCACATAGAGCGACTCTGCTGTCCCTTCGTAGCAAACATAAGGAGACCCTAGCCACTGCAGCCGCAGCTGCTGCTGCCGCCGCAGGCAGTGCAGCGCCTCCAGGCGAGCAGCAGCAGCTGCTGCAGCAGCAGATTTAGGTGGTTTAGGCAGCGGCAGCAACGGCAACTCTTCAATTATTTCCTGAGCAAACAGCTGCACCACTGCAGCCCTGTGGGGCTGCAGCGGAAGCAGCACACACGGTTCGCAGGCCTCTGCTGCACTAACAGAGTACCTGTACACCTCAAAATGCGTAGGCCTGCTGCTGCTGCTGCTGCTGCTGCGCTTGCTGCTGCTGCTGCTGCGTTCGCAACGGCGGCTTCTCTTCTTGTGGTGACGGTCGTGCTTTGTTCGGCGTTTCTGCTGCTGCCTCTCTTGCTGCTGCTGCTGCTGCATGCTAATGTAGCCAAATGCTGCCGCAGCACGCTCCACAGCCCTCTCAAGATCTTCTGCTGCTTCTGCAAGCGGCATAGTGTCTCCTTCTGCCTCCACGAGAGCGCCACTTTCTTGCTGCTGCTGCTGGCGCCGCTGTACCTGCGGGTTTGCAGCGGGAGCAGCAGCAGCAGCAGCTTTGTTTCGTGCTGCAGCGAGCGCAGCAGCAGCCTGCGAATGAAGGGGACGGCAGATCAGCAGCTCTTCTGCCCTCTGAAGCGCCTGCTGCTGCTGCAGCAAAGGGCCTAAGGCCCAACTCTTAATCCCCAAGTCGGTGTCTAGTACAGTTGTTCTGTCTCCCTCAACAACTACTGGCAGCTGAATGCTGCCTGCTGCTGCTGCTGCATCTGCCGTTGCTGCTGCAGGAGACAGCAGACGAAATAACAGCTGCCGATTCGTTGGCATTGTCTCCATCAAATGCTCTATTGATGCCTCCGCTGCTAGCAGCCCACGAACAGCGGACTCGAACTGCTGCTGCTGCTGCTGCTGCGCGTGCTGTGAAGCAGCAGCAGCAGCAGCAGAAGCCAGGGACGCTGAGCTCGCAGCTTCAAAGGCCCTGGCGACAGCAGCAGATGCTGCAGGAGAGACGAGCGGTGGTGGAAGCTGGCTGCCCCAACACCACGAAGGCAAGGAAATCTGCTGCTGCTGCTGCTGCTGCCGCTGCTGCTGCTGTTGCTGGCGCCGCGACTGCGGCGCCGTCCCTGCGTAGGCCAGCAGCAGCTGCTGCTCCAGCAGCACTTCCTCAGCCTCGCCGCCCCCACAGATTGAAAAAGTGCTGCCTTCTGTCTCCTCTGCCTCCGCTACAAGGGATTCAAAGTACTCCAGCAACCCCACCAAGTCTCCACCCTGCGCGTAAACCCTAAACCCTAGCAAACCCTCGTAAACCCTAATAAATCCTAATAAATCCTAATAAACCCTCCTAAACCTTCACAAACCCCCCACCATCCTTAGAAAACCCTTATTAACCCGAAGAAAGCATCGTTAGCCTTCACAAACCCTCAATACCTCTACAAAACCCTTTCAAACCCTAATAAACCCTCGTAAACCCTAAGCAGCCCTAGTTAGCACCCGCCGACACCAACAAGCCCATCAAACCCACAACATAAACTTTCACAGATCCTCATAACCGTAATAAAACCTCATAAGCTTTACTGAGCCATCATAGGCCCTCGTACGCCTTAGAAACCCTCGCAAAGTTTGATGAAGTCTCCTAAACCCTTATACACTTTCTCATGTCTTCACAAACCCTTTGCTGTGCCCCCCCTTATTGCCCCCCACGTCTTTCTAAACCCCAAGGCCTTCGGCTGGAAGCTTCGCGGCAGTGTCTGCTGCAGCACCCCTTACAGAGTGCTGCTGTTGCTGCCCAGAGTAAGGGCTCTTAAAGGTCTAATTAGGGCCCCCAGGAGCCCCTGCTAAGGCCATCAGGGCCCCCCAACTGCAGCAGAAGCCAACCCACCTCTGGAATTAGCAGCAAACGAAGAATGGGAGCTGGCAGTAGCTCGGTCGGACGAGACTGTTGTTGTTGTTGCTGCTGCTGTTGCTGCTGCTGCTGTTGCTGCTGCTGCTTTTGATGAAAATGCAGCAGCAACAAAAAGCGGATGGCTTTTCTGCCTGCGCGTCGCTCTCCAATTTCTTTGGCAGGGAAGAAGTACAGGGTGAAGCCATCTGCTGCTGCTTCAGCAGCAGGTTCTGCAGCATACGCTGCAGCAGCAGCGGCTGCACCAGCTGCTGCTGCTGCTGCTGCTGCGGACTGGCGCACGCCAACTACCCACATCAACGTCAGGCCATCGAGATAAACGAAAAAACGATCGGTTCCCCAGCGCAGCACCTGCAGGGGCAGCCTCCGAGGAGACAAGGGCCCCCCAAAAGCAGCCAAGGGGCCGTCAACTTTGCTGCTGCTGCTGCTGCTGCTGCTGTCACTGCTGCTACGTGTGGCGTTGCTGCTATTGCGGTTGCTGCTTCTGCTGCTAGAGGTGTCTTGGGCTGCTGCAGGATTCGCATTCTCACAGTAGTGCGGCTGGGGCAATGGCCGCTCAGGGCCATTAACGTTGCTGCTGCTGCCGCCACAAGTGCTGCTGCTGCTGCTGCTGGAGCTGCTGCCTCCAATGTGCATACCCGACAGCTCTTCTTGTGTCTGTGCGCAGAGCTTCAGAGCATCTCTCACCGCCGCTTCCATTTTTCCTGGTTGCTCACTGTTGCTGCTGTTGCTGTTGCTGCTGTTGCTGTTGCTGCTGTTGCTGCTGCTGCCGCAAATGGTGGGAGCTGCAGCAGGCTGCCATTGCATGATGCCGTAGAGGAGCCTGAGTGCTACAAGAATGGAGGCCCCCGCAGCCATCTCCAAAGGACAGCCCCAGGCATTCGATTTGCTGCGCGGGGTTAGCAGCCGCCAGGCGTCGCTGTGCGTCTCAGGGACCCCAGAAGGAGATATCTGAGGGGCCCCCTGGGGGCCCCAAGGGTCTCCTCTTTGGCGCGACCAGCGCAGGCGCCAGGGGCCCCTCTTATACTGCTTTCTACGTCCACCAGCAGAAGCAGCAGCAGGATGTGCTGCTCCTGCTACTGTTGCTGCTGATGCTGCTGACTTGCTGCTGAGGGGGCCCCCCCTATCGGTCCCGCCATCGCTGCTGGGCTCCCCTTGCTGCAGCAACAAAGACAATTCGCCGCCTTCGCTGCTGCTGTCCCCTTCATCAGCCTTATTTCTATTTCTTGCTGCTGCGCCTTCTGCTGCTGCTTGAGGTGCGGATCCCTCAGGTGGCTGCGGAGACCCAGCTGAGTCTGCTGCTGCAGCTGTTGCAGCTGCAGCATCGTCACTGTTTCCTACGCCCCCATTGACAGGCTCTGTCTCCGTTGCTGCTGATGCTGCTGCTGTTGCTGCTGCTGCTGCTGCTGTTTCTTCTGTTGCCATCGTTTTCCTGCGTTTGTTGGGGCCGTTGTCCTTTCCTTGGGTTTCTTTGTCCCCTGAAGCAGCAGCAGCAGCTGCTGCTGCTGCAGGACTGCTGCGGAGGGCCCTTACGCCTTTGCGAATGAGAAGAGGAGGCGGCCTCCGCTGGCGCATTTGAATTTGTGAGGGAACAAAAGGAGGCTTCTTTGGTATTTTGATGTGTCTGTACTCCTGAGAAGACCGCAGTTTCTGCTGCAGCAGCCGCAATTGGCCTGGCAGCAGCTGCTGCAGCAAGGCATTAGCAAGCAGCAGCACGAGAGGCGGAAGCCGCAGTAGCCAACCTATGCGCGCTATGAGGGCAGAAGCATTAACGTATGAGGGGGGCCCCCCTCCAACTCCGAGGGCCCCCAAGTCCTGTAGCAGCGTCTGCAGCCTGAAAGCGTGCGGCAGAGACTGCGGCTGCAGCGCAGCAGCCGAAGCAGCAGAATTGGACTTAGCAGAGAGCTGCAGCAGGGCTCCCGTAAACACGCGGCATTGGTGCCACAGGGCGGGAGGAGACAGTCGCAGCAGAGACAGAGACCCTATGCGGTTCTGAGAAAAAAAGGAGACAGACACCCCAACAGCGTAACGCATGCATGCAGAAACCCCACACTGAGCTGCCTGTACACTCCACAAGTGCATGCAAACGCCCCTACACATGCACAAAAGCAAGTGCGAAGACACACTGGCAATCGTACGCAGATATCATATATATATATATATATATATTTGTGTATATATATACATATATTATATACATACATATATACCGACATATTTGCGCGTCTATATTTGTATGTATAGGCATCTATATGTATACACGTACATAGGAACACCAAAAGCGCACAGAGACAAAAAGGAGGCAGAATAACGAAGGAGACAACGTGCAAACAAGCCCCAAGGAGACGAAAGAGAGACAGAGGGGGAGAGACACAAAGAGAGGCACAAATAAAGCGAGAGACAGAAACACGGAAGGAGACAGAAAAAAATAGAAGCAGAGACACAAAGAAAACAAACAGGAACAAGGAAGCGACAAGAGAAGCAAAGGAGACAGAGAAGGAAATGGAGACAGAGGCATCAAAGGGGACTTATAATGATATAGGAGCACAGACTGAATCGCATAAAGACAGGGTGTACACGCAGAAAAATAAACAGAGAGAGAGGAGGAGACAGAGACAGGGAGACACAACAAGACAGAACACCCATCGCCGCACCTGCAACAGCAGCCTGAGGACATCAGCAGCAACCAGGGGAATGCGGCAGCGCTTGAGGGCTACAAGCAGCAGAGCCAGCAGCAAATCCATATCTAAAGGGGGCAGCGCGGAGGGCAGGTGTGGAGAAAGCAGACGGCTTCCTGTCAACGCATTAGCTGTACATACACCTGAAAATATCGCTGCAGGACCCACAGCCTCAGGGTGAACAGAAGACACCTCCAGCCCATCTCCTGCTGCGCGGCGTAAAGAGAAACGCCCGCTGCAGCGCCGCAGGGACAGCAGCGAGCCCCCTACAGCAGCAGCAGTTTTAGCTGCTGCTGCTGCTGAGCCACCCGCTGCTGCACCTTCTCCCTGGGTCGTTTGGGGCTGGCTCTCTCCTGCTGCAGTAGACGATGTCCCTGCTAGTGCGGTTGCTGCGTGGGATCTGTCTGCTGTGGAGTCCCCTGATGCAGCAGCAGCAGTACTTTCGGCTGGTGTTGCTGCTGCTGTTGGGGATGGGGGTGGCAGTGCTGCTGCAGCGGGTTGTCTGCTGCTGTTTTTGCTGCTGCTGCTGCTGCTGCGTGCGCGGTGCAGGAAGCAAGCCTTAATGATAGAGCGTCTCCAGACAACGCGAACAGCAGTAAGGCGAATCATGAGTTCAAGTGCAGTTGCATTTAGTTCTAGGGAGGGCCCCCAAGTACCCTGGGGCCCCTTGGTGCGTCTTCTTTGCTGCTGCTGTGCAGCAGCAGCAACTGCTGCCCATTGTTGCTGCTGCCCTGTGCCCCGTCCCCCTCTTACCCCCGCTGTCTCCTCAAGGTTGTTCTCTAGCGAAGAGACACCAAAGGCAGCGCAGAAGCAAGAAGGAGACAGGCCTGAGAGCTCCTGTAGCCGCTGCGTCTTCACATACCCCAGCCATTCAGGAGACAGTGCAGGGAAGAGGCCTTTCTGCTGCGCTTCGCCTCTTTGTGTCTCCACCTGCAGCAGCAGCTGCTTCTCTCGCTCTTCAAACACCTCCAGCTGCTGCTGCAGCTGCCGTCCACCAGGCGCTGCTGCTGCAGAGCCGTGGGGGCCCCCAGGCAAGACCCTTACGTGACGCCTTAGGCCCCCAGTTATCTCGTCTGTTGCATCTAATAGAAAAGCAGCACCAACTCCAGGGTCTCCTCCAAATGCAGCAAACGCACCTCGACTTAAACTCTTCCCCTTAGATCCAGCAGCAGCAGCTGCTGCTGCTGCACCTGCTCTTGCTGCTGCTCCTGCTGCTGCTGCTGGCGCTGCCAGGCGATCTATTGCCAGCACTTCGGCTGCAACGTCACTCAAACCCCCAGCAGCGGACTCTGCTTCCAATGCTGCCCTGCCCTCCAAAAGAGCCAGCTGCTGCTGCAGACGCGCGCTCCTACTGCTGCTGCTGCTGCTAGCAGCATCAGGGACTGCCAGGGCCAACTCAGCGTCTGCTGCTGCCTCTTCTGTCGTGCCTGCAGCAGAGGCAGCGGGAGAAAGCGCTAGTCTCCTGCGTTTTGGCTTGTGTGCGTCTACTTCTGCTTCACTGCCTTGCAGCACCTCTTGCTGTTGATGCTGCTGCTGCTGCTGCACTTGCTGCTCCGCGTGCTCCTGTTCCTGCTGGTGGTGCTCTTCCTCTTCTTGCTGCTGCTGTTGTCCTTGGTCCTGCAGCTGCTGTGGAGCCTGCTGCTGGTGCTGAGGGTCCTGAGGGAGGCGGGGGCCTTCCAGCGCCAAGCGTGGCTGTTCACAAATCTGGGGGGAGCCTGCCGACGAAGCTGCATGCTGCAGCGACCCCTCTCCCCCAGGAGACGTAGGCGCTGCTGGGGTTGCTGCTGCTGTTGCTGCAGCGTTTAGGGGTAGGAGCTGAGACGCCGGGAGACTGAAGAACCTCCGATGGGCCTTAGAGCGGAAGGAGGCACCCATCATAGGGAGGGTGCCAGGAGGGAATCCTGCTGCTGCTGCTGCTGCTGTTGCTGCAGAAGCAGGAGCTCCTCCACCCGCTTGTGCAGCAGATGAGGGAGATTCCTGCGGGATCAAGGGACACCTCCGACGCTGCGCTGCTGGCAGCAAAGCCAGAGGTATGTCTTCTTCAGAGTCATCTGCTTCAGTTCGTGTTAATGCTGCTGCAGCTGCTGTCAGTGTTCCTGTCGCGGTTGGTGTTGCTGCTGCAGCTGCTCCTCTTCCTCCTACATCTCCGTCAATTGGCACCTCATTGTCGCCAGCCAGCCGTTCTTCTTGTGCAGCGTCACACAGCTGCAGCAGTGTCGAGCTTCCACTTTGCTGCTGTTGCTGCTGCTGCTGTTGCAGCTGTTGCTGCTGTTGCTGCTGTTGCTGTTGTTGTTGCTGCTGTTGTTGTTGCTGCCGGTGTTTGAGGAAGAGGAGCAAGAAAAGGAAGTCATGTTCGTACACCGCATCTACCTGCGCGCATGCACCGCACACTGTTGCCTCTAAGCAGCAGGAATAGCAGCAGGAGCAGCAACAGCAGCAGCAGCAGAGGAGTAGCGTAGCTGCTGCAGATGGCATGAAGGGGTGTACGGCAGACACCCAAAGGCACAGGCAGCAGGAGCAAGAGCAGACAAACTATAACGAAGATAAACACCAAAGGACAGCTGGAGACCCCTAAAAAACCAAATGCACCGACAGAACATCCTTGCTGCTGCAGTGTCTCCTCAACTCACAATCTCTGCTGCTGTCTTGGGCGTCGTGCGGCGCCATGCAGAGCGCTGAAAGGAACGTAGAGACACTTCAAGGGACCCTATAGACAGCAGATGCACAAAGGGAGACAACACAGGAGGCAGAAAGATGCCAGGCCTTAGCAACAGCAGCAGCAGCAACAGCAGCAGCAGCAGCGCCTCCACGGCAGGGACAGTATCACCTCTGGAATAGACATAATTTAATGCGGAGACGAATAGGGGAGAGAGCGGAAGGAGACAGCGTGAGGAGACAAACGAGAAAGTAAAGAAAGATACACATATAAAACAGACAACCAAAACAAAGAAACCAGGCGACAGAGAAGCAAGAACGCGAGGAGGAGCACCAGACGCAAGCAGGAGACAGAAAAGAGAGGCAGCGCAAAGAAAAAACGAAAACAGAAAGAGGTGTCTCCTCACCTAAGGCGAGGGACCGCTCGTGTGCCAGCATCGACAGCAGCTGTCTGGAGATGTACGGAGACACGAGAATGGGTGTCTCCTCTCGTTGGGTCTCCCTTTGTGTCTGCGTGTTGCTGTCTCTGTTGCGGTGTCGCTGCCGTTTGAATGACTCTCCCGTTGCTGCTGCTGCTGCTGCTGCCTCTGCGGCATTCAGAGGAGTCCCCAAGGCAGCAACAGCAGAAGAAGCAGCAGCCAGGAGCTGCCGGCGGCTCTCGTGCACCGCTTCCTCCCCGACTGAACCCTGCCCTTGCTGCTGCTGCTGCTGCTGCTCTAATAGGTCGCTCTCCCGCTGCTGCACCAGAGGCAGCAGCCGCTGCGCTGCAGCAAGACGATCAGCAGCACGCTCATCCCTTGTTGTCAGAGCTGTAGGGGCTAAGGTGCATGGCACAGCCACAAGGCTTGTTTGAGAGAACTCGGGCAACCCACTGCTGCTGCTGCTGCTGCTGCTGCTGCTGTTTGCTGCTGCGGCAGCAACGATTGCACCTGTCGCTGCGGTGTCTTGCAAATTCAGCGCCTCCTCATTTACGGGGGCTCCAGGGGTCCCCCCACAATGAAGAGAAGAAGGGGGCGCAGGAGTGAACGCCGAGGTGCCTACAACGGCAGGAGCCTGTGTTGCTCTTTGTGTGGTTGCTGTTGCTGCTGCTGCTGCTGCTGCAGCTGTCTCTGTTGCTGGGGCCGGCGGGGTAGCCTCAGCACGCGTCAGGAGACGAAGACGTCTGCGGGAGAAGGTGTCTCTTTTGTGTTGCCGTGCGGGCATCAGCCGCTGAACGTAAGCCAGGCGATCTAAGCCCATAAAGCGAACCACTGCAGCAGCAGCAGAACCAGCAGCACCAAATGCAAATGCAGCAGCAGCACACGCAGCAGCAAGCGCAAATGCCGCAGCAGCACATGCAGCAGCAAATGCAGATGCAAGGGCAAATGCGGCAGCAAATGCAGATGCACCAGCAAGTGCACATGCAGCAGCAGCAGCAAGTGCAGCAGCAGAAACGGCAGCCAGCTCAGCAGCAGCAAGCGGAACAACAATCACTGGAAGGGGTCAACATGGAGACAGATGGTTTGAGCGGCAGATCTCTAGGGACAGGAAGGGTGAGGAGAGGTAGCAAAGGAGACCGACAGAAAGACAAAAGAAAACAAAGATAAAGCGAGTAGGAGAGACAGATGAGTAGAGATGGAGACACCAAGAGATGCACATAAAGAGGTTGAGACAGTTAGAAGCAAAGACAGAGACAAGAAGGAGATAGGAGACACCACGCAGCAAAACCCAAGCAACCCCCTAAGAAAGAGTCTACGCACCTGTCTGCAGAAGCGGAGGGACAGATGGGTCTTGCAGTAGCTGCTGTTGCTGCTGCTCCAGCTCCTTCGCTATTTGCTGCGCATGCGAGACAACCCTTCCAGTCCTAGCAGCAAAATAAACACACAAGACAGACAGAGACGCCTTGCTGCAGCTCCAAGTGTGCATTCACCGCAAACAGAAGCACAAAGAAAAACAAAAGAGACGCAAGACACCAACAAAGACCACGAAGCACCTGTTAGAACCTTAGATGCGGTTTAGGGTTTAGGTAGGGTTTAGGGTTTACAGGCCTACGGGATCTTAATCACATTGGAGGAGATGCTGCAGAAATATGTCTCTACCGGCAGCTCATGACGAGCCAGAAAGCCCAAGTACTGCAGCAGCACCTGAGTAAAAACAGCAGCAGCAGTAGAAGCAGCAGAAGCAGCAGAAGCAGCAGCACGATCCGGTGTGATATGGTGTTTTTCGAACTGCTGCATCGAGACCGCTGGCGAGAGGAGACAAAGAAGCAAAGAAGAGCACAGAGGCAGCCACACAGAGACAGGAGACAGAAACAAAAGAGACAGACGCAGAGACCCGGACGCAGCAGGCATAGAAACGCGTGCATAGGAGACAGAGAGGAAGGGGATACACGGAGACAGTTGAGACAGAGACAGGAGAGACAGAGACAGGAGGACAGAAACGAGAGAGACACAGAGACAGAAGAGGCAGAGGCAGGAGACAAAGAAAGGAGACACAGAAGGAGGCCTTGAAGGGATTACCTTTCGGGCCTCAAGCTCCAGCAAATCGGAGATACCAAACTCCTGCTGCAGCAGACGGCAGCAGCACTGCAGCAGCAAAGCCCAGCAGCGCAGCAGCGCTGCATCGGAGACAGCGCCATCAGGACTGAAGGTCTCGCCTGCTGCTTCTTCAGCATTAAGCCACAGCAGCGGCTGCTGCCAGTAGTTCCCTAGGGCCTGCTGCTGCTGCCGAGACACCCGAGCTGCAACAGCAGCAGCAGCTGCATCGCTCGCCCCTGCTGCAGCAGCACCTCCCATCCCTTCGCCCCACTCCTCCTGGTCTTCTGCATCGTCATCCTCATCATAACCCCTTTGTGTAGCAGCAGCGGCAGCAGCAGCAGAGGGGGCGGGGACAGCCGTAGGAGGTGTTTCTGCTGCTGCTGCAGCAGCGCCTTTCGGGTCCCCCTGGGAGGCCCCGGGGCCCCCTACGCCCACAGCAGCAAGCGCTGCAGCAACGGCATCGGACCCTAACATATCCAAAGACCTAACACGTGCTGCACCCATTGCAGCAGTAGACTGCAGCAGCTCGAACTCTTCTTCTTCATCTCTTGTTGCAACCTGTTCTCCTTCTTGGACGGCCCCACAGTCGGCGCAGATTAGGTGTCCGCTGTGGTCAATGCGAGGGGGTGTAGCGCTGCCGCAGCTCTTGCAACTAAATCCAGAGGGGGCCCCCAGGGGGCCCCCCGATACCCGCTGCTGGGAGGCAGCTAATGATGCTTGCGAAGCCTGAGAGGCAGCCGCCTGCTGCGACCCCCGCAACAGCCGCCGCACCAAATCCAAATTGCCCTCCATCTTTGGGTCTAGGGTTTAGGGTTTAGGATTTAGGGGAGTGGTCCAGGGGGTGAAGGAGCCCAGGCGGCCTCAAGGGTTTAGGGTTTAGGGCGTTGGTGTTTAGAGTTTCTGGCGCCGGCGGCGTTAAAAGGGCTTTGCACACAAGAACCCTGCAGTGGAACAGGGGGAACAGGCGGAGGGCCCCGCGGAGGGTTTGATTTACTGGGGGGCCCCAGCGAATATAGAGATGAGGAGCAGCCCTCCCTCTAAACCCTACAAGGCCCTCCGTCTTGAACCCATTCAAAGCCACCTGGGGGGTCATGGTGGGCGCTTTGGCTACCCTAAACCCTAAACCCTAAACCTTAAACCTTAAGTCATATTCGTCAGACCTCCCCAAACGGGGAAGACGGGCTGTCAAGGGGCCCCCTCCGGGTGTTGCAGGGTTTGTTTGGAGTGTAGGGTTTAGGGTTAGGGGAAATGTTTAGAGGTTTCGCTCATATCAGAGCCCCCTGCGATTTTATATCCATAAAAATTCAAATATTGTTCTTTAGAGTCTAGCCAATTTAAAAGCCTAGTCTCTTCATTTATAACTCAGCCCCATCGGCGCAGAACTCGCTGCCCTGGGGGCCCCATAAGGAGCACCTTCTCGCCCCCCCCTCCACAACTTCAGGGTTTAGGGTTGAGGGCTGAGGGTTTAGGGTTTAGGGTTGTTTTTCAGAAATCTCTTAGTAAACTCTTCTCTTCTTTTGGCTTAGGAACTCCCTCGGTAGGGGCCTCCTGCCACCATTGGGGCCCCCGTGTCCACTCCTCTCCTGGGGCCCCCTAGCAGTGCTGAGGGGGGTTGTAGTGTTGTTTGTTTCTTTCACTTGTTGGGTTCAAACCTTTGAACCTTTTTGTTTTTTTTACTCTCGCTTTCTATGTACGCCGTAGGGCGCCCCTCCCCGAGGCCCTTTACTTTTATCTTGGGGCTCTCTTTTCCTGCAACTCCCTCTATATACAGGGGCTTCATTGTTTAGGGTATACTGGTGAGTGCCGCTTCTCAACTGCCTTTTTGTCTTTATGTACTCGGGCACCCCTTCTTCCGCGTCCTCTGGGCCCAGCCCGGGGGCAACAGCGGCTGCAGGAGGAGTTGGCGTTTCAGCGCCCTCTCCATTGGGGCCTCCTGTTTCTTCAGGGGGCCCCCCGGGGCCTCCAGGCCCTCCTGGGCCCCCCGGCATCTCAGAGGGGCCCCCAGGGGCAGGGCCCCCTCCGCCGCCGCCACCGCCACCTGCAAGGCCGCGAGGGCTGCAGAGGCCCCTGCGAGAAGGAGATTGGGAGTGTTCTGATCCCGCCTGTTTAAATGTGAATTTTTCAAAGAGAACGCGGTGCAATCGATGCGGTAAGCCTCGGCCTAAGGGGGCCGGGGGCGCGGTGGGGGCCCCCGGGGGGGCCCCCGTAAGGCAGGGGGACTGGAGCTGCGGGCACTGCGGGAATCTGAACTGGGCCAGGCGCTCCAGCTGCAACATCTGCAACGCCCCTAAACCCTCTGCCTTTGATGAGCCGCGTATGGGGAGGGGGGGGGGCCACTTTGACTTGCAGGACCCCAATGACAGGCGGGAGCACGACTCTGATGAAGAGACATTTGATGAGTTTGGCCGCAAGAAAAAACACAAGACACCCAGGCAGCCGCCGCAGCAGCAGCAAATGCAGCAGCAGCAACAACAACAACAGCAGCAACAGCAAAAGGCAGGAGAGGAAGAAACCATCAAACTTGTGTTCCCTCCAGCGCCCATTCGCCTCCCAGAGAGCGACGAAAGCGAAGATTCGGAAGGAGAGGAGCCAAGATCCCGCTCCCGTACCCCAGAGTGGAAGAGACGGTTCCGATCCCGCTCTCGGGAAAGGCGGTCCCGATCCAGGGATCGGCGATCCCGATCCAGGGAACGACGATCCCGATCCAGGGAGAGACGATCCCGGTCCCGAGAAAGAAGACACTGGCATTCCAGGTCCAGAGAAAGGGACGGCAGGAGGTCGCGATCCCACGAGCGGTCAAGGCGATGAAGATGAAAGCCCCAGCAGGGAGATGCACACCTCAGACTGTGTATGCATGTATACAAGCATGCATGCACAGTCGAATAATGTGCTCTTGAGGACCAACCAGACACTCCCATAGTGTAGGGTGGAGGCGCAAGCTTCAGATGGTCCTTTTCGTTGTTCTTTAGGAGAAAAGTGCAAGTGCAGAAGATTCCTTTTTCGCGTTGTGGTCTGCACGCTGTTGCGCCTTAAAATCGCCTGCTGCATGCGGGCAGAGGTGTAGGTACACCCCATAAGGCGCATCTGTGCTACGTCGACAGTCCCCCTTCTGCACTGATTAGAATGAGTCTGCACTGCGGCTCTCCTTCTCCTGCCTGCAGGGTCCCCGAGCCGTGATACTGGCTGTCGGGGACTAGCTTGCGTCTGGTGAAGGTTTGTTTTGTGCTGTTTCGGCTGCAGTACTGTCGGCCGTCAGCTCTCCTCATAGACAACGGCGCAGGCCTGCGCTTTCAAGCCCTTTTATTCGCGAACATAGCATTTCACTAAGCATCCTGGCACTTTGGTGGTGGCTTCTTCTGTGTGTTGTTTGAGCACAATTAGCCAGCGGGAGTTACGGAAGTCCTGAAAGTACTGAAATTACTGTTGCCATAGCTGAGTAGCCTACCGCTGTATTGTTCTGTTCTATGTCGCGTAGTTTCAGACCATCACAGTCAGACGGCGCCTGGCTGCGGCGCCCACCACAGCAGCAAACGAACCCCGCGTTTCTGCAGAGCAGACACTGCCGAGAAAAATTCAATTCTTGGATGTGGTTACTTAATTGTCAGTTTATTTCGGAGGAAAACGACTTGGGGGGCGACGCCGCGACCGCCCGTCGCAGCAGCCCCGGTCTCGGTCTTTGGGGTTTGTTGTTTCACTCAGTGTGAGGTGGTATGCACGCATTTTTTCTCAAAAAAAAGGTAAATACAAGCAATTTATGCATTTCAAATTCATGCGATTCTCTGTGGATAGGAAGAAGAGGGCGCTGGCGGACTTTTATTTTTTGGGTTTCTGCAGAATTTCCCTACTAGACGGGTGACCTGTGCACGGTCTTCTGTCTGAGGTGGAGCTTTATCAGCTCACCCAGTTGTCTCTCAGGTTTTATATTCCTCTTCTAGCTGCTAAAAGGTATTTTAACATAACGGGATTCTCCTAAAAGGCGACGTTTGGTTCACTTTTCGTCAGTAGCCCACACAGCCTATACTCGCCAAAGGCGCCGGGTTGACCGGCGGTCTCATATGAACAAAATCGCTACATTCTCCTACCCCCTTCGCATATTTTGATATTATAGCTCCCGTAATGGCTTAAATCTCCTCAGCTTTTCATTTTTTCAGCCGCTGACCAACAAAGTTTGAGACCACCTACAGCACGCGGTGGAACATGAAATACGCGGAGTAGATGTGAAAGGCCGCCGAGATATTTTTTCCACAAAAGACGATCAACAGGGCATTTGGTGTTGACGGCGGAGGCTTCAGCGCCCCCCGGGTGCCTTCGCCTGCTGTCCCAACCTCCCCCCTCTCCTGCTTGGTTATGGCAGCCATACTACGATCGCCCTCATTGCAGCCAACAATGTTCTCTGCACGTGTATTCAAGGGCGAACACGCCCGATCAGTCTTATTACTTTTTATAGCTGCGTTGCTGCTACCTTCAGAGCCATATTTCTTTGTTGCTGGTGCCTCATACTCTCCCTCTGGCGAAAAATGGGCAGCGGCCGGGTCCTCTAGCACACCTCCTCTCCAGTACCTCACTCAGCGCATTTTATTGGGGAATGTGGAAGATGGCGTTCCTTCCCTTGGGAGTGGCGTCGCGGCTGCTCCAGGGCATATAAGAGATGGGCTTACAAAGTTCCCGGATGGCTTCCATGAGACCTTAGGCCTCGACAACGCCATGGATCCGGCGGCACCGACGCCCTCGCCAGAAACTCAGGAGCCACCTGCTTCAGAGATGAACATCCAAGCAGACGCGCCAAAGCAGCAGCTTCGCGCTCAGCAACTAGAAGATGCTGCAGACGCAGAGAGCGGGGATTGGGAATGGGCTACCGACGAAGAGTGGGAAGAGGCAGAAGGGCAGGAGCAGGAGCAGGATCAGAAGCAGCAGCAGCAGCAGCAGCAGGAAGAAGGCAGCGAGGATGAGCAGCCCAAAGCGGGAGAGGGAGTGGTCCCGCAGTGGCAGCCCCAGAGGCCCGAAGCAGAAGACTCCCCTGTCTTAACCAATGTAAACCGCAGCGGCGCGGGCCGCCGGACATCAGACAGGTTCGCGGTGCCACGCAATGAGCAGCAGCGGGAGCCGCCGCAGCAGCCACGCAACGGACAGCTGCTACAGCAAGACAACGATGACTGGTTTGGCTACCCTACTCCGCAACAACAGCAGCAGCCCTTGCCGCCGCAGCAGCAGCTGGCGCCTCCTAACCGAAATCCTCATAGACGAGGGGACGGTGGGCCCCCTAATCAAGGCGCCCCCAATGGTGGGCAGGTGGGCACGAGGGGCGCCTCTGGAGGCCCCTTTGGGGGCCCTTCTGGAGAGCCCTTTGGAGGCCCCTCTGACGGGCCCTTTGGAGGCCCCACTGGGGGCCCTTTTGGAGGCCCCGCTGGGGGCCCCTTTGGAGGCCCCCCTTCAGGCGCACGTGGGAGCTCATCTTTCGGCCAACGTGAAGGCCCCGCTGGAGGCCCAACTGGGAGCCCAGCTTTCGGCCAGCGAGGGGTCTCCTCTGGGGCTTCACCTCTGGGCCAGCGTGAGGGCCCCGTTGCTGGCCTACCTGGAAGCCCACCTGGACGGGCCCCTCTCGATCAATTTGGGGCACAGTCTGGAAGCTTACCTGAAAGCATGGCTGGACGTTCACGTGGAGGGCAATCTGGGGGCCCTGGAAGCCCTCCTCTAGGGTTCGGAAGAGGCCCGTCGGGGGCCAACGCCTCCAGTGTGTCTGCGCGTGTAGCTGGGGACGCACTCAGGGGCCCCGTTGGGGGTCCCCCTCCTGGCTTCCCAGGAGGGATACCCGGGGAAGCACGTGGAGGCTCCATTCATGGGGGCCGCCAGGGGGGGTTTCCTGGAAGCACGCCAGGTGAAGATCACGGGGGCCCGCCTGGGAGTCCCCTCGGGGTTGGCAGCCACCGAAGTAGAGCTGAAGGAGAAGACGAAGAATGGTATGATGAGGCAGATGCGGCCCTTCATGGACAGAGAGACGTGGGGAGGGACGCTGTAGGCAGGCCACAGCAGCAGATGCGGCAGCAGCAACTACAGCAGCAACTGCTTCAGCAGCAGCTGCAGCAGCAGCAACTGCAGCAGCAGCTGCTTCAGCAGTCACTGCAGCAACTGCCGCAGCAGCTACCACCGCAGATGCTGCCTCAGCAACAAGCGAGGCAGCAGGATCTGCCAGAGCCGCAGCAACGGCTGCACCTCCAGGCTCACCAGCTGCAGCAGACTGCAAATCACTTGCAGCAGCAGGCTGACCAGCTGAAGCAGCAGCTGCAGCAGCCACTTCACCCGCCGCCGCCGCCCCCACAGCAGTCTCAACAACGGCAGCAGGCAGAGCACGAGCAAGAGCAGCTGGAGGCTCAGGAGGAACCACAGCAGAACCAAGACGAAGAGACATCGGCAAAGCGGCGCAGGCGGCAGTTTTTAAGTGCTGCTTTTGCTGCAGCACAAGCAGCAGCAAACACTTTCTTTGAGGTTGCTGCTGAGTCAGGCGGTGAGGGAGAGGGACAAGGACAACGCGTGAACCTGCACCAACTAAACCACCAGGTGGAAAACATAGTCAACGACTTCCTCAAGCCTATGCCAACAGACGGCGGCGCCGGCGGCAGCAGCAGCAGCAGGAGCAGCAGCAACAGGAGCAGCAGCCGGAGAAGCAGCGCACCCCTGAGAGCTGCAAGTGTTGAAGATAAGGACGGGTCCTACTTCCAGGATGAGGAGGACCCTGAAGCGCTGAAGGAATATGCACAGCATCAAATAGACCGCGCGCAGCGGCAGCAGCGCCTGCAGGACTACCTCCGGAATCACTTGCTGCCGCAGTACCAGCACCAGCAGGAACTGGAGCAGCAAGGCAGCGAGGAAAACACAACTGATACAGATCGTGCTATCAACGCAGCAGACCACCGGAAGAAAGCCCTCGAAGGGTTGAATGCCCGCAGGCTGCCCCTAGTAACCTCTTAGCCGCTATTCAGTGCAGAATGCAAGGGGCGCCCTCTGAGGGCCCCCATCCCAGGTAGGCAAGCCCTTATAGGGCCCAGAGGGGTCCGCCACAGTGGGTAGCACGCAGGGGCCCTCCTGAGCTCAGCCTTAGCTGAATGCTGAATGTAGTGTAGGCGGATAGGCAGAGGAGCGGGTTAGACCAGAAGGTTCCAGCCCTGCTGCGTTAGAAAAGGAACGCAGGCTGGTGGTGGAGGGTGGACAAGGGGCTCCCAGGGCCCCTGTTAGACACTCAAGCACTAAGCAAACTACCAATAATGCATGCACGCATGCGTGTGCCACCTCCTTCCTAGATAAAGGTAGCTGAAGTACGGTGCCTGTGGGCCCTTCAGAAAGCGAAGGCCTCAAGCAACGTAAGGGTACTCCCCTCAGGTCGCTTTGCAGTCCTACGTGTACAGGAAGTCACCAACATATACACTAGAAGCCTCGATGGATTGCCTACAAGGGTAGACAAAAAAAGAAGTCGTCCCTAGCTAGAGCTGAGGCCTCTACATGCGCAATTCCAAGCAAAACGTAGCATGAACTGTGTCAGAATTAACAAACGACGTTCGTGAGGGAGGGTGCAGGGCTCCTGATGTGCTGCTGCGGTGTCCGGACACCCCAGATCTGCTCCAGGACCGCTGTACTCGGGCCGCGACGGCCACCACACTCTGCAGTGTACGTACACTCTAGCTGAGGCTCACGGCCGCCGTTCGGCTCTGCTGAGCCCTACAATAAAGGGACGTGAAGAAAGCATATATACACGGCATCAGTCGCAGCAGCAAGTCGCAGCAAACAGAAGCAGCAGCAAGAGCGCGCACTGTCATGCTCCTGCTGCTGCACGCTGGCGCTGTCCTTTGCAGCGGCTCACAGAGCAGCAGCAACAGAAAAATGAACGGGGCGGCCTTCGGGAGCAGCGGGGGCATGCATGCGGCCTCAAGGGGCGCTATAGGGTCCCCTAAGGACTCAACTGTATTTTGAGTCAATGCAGTAACACCATGAGGGCAAATAGATGAAAAGGACGCATCAACGTGCACTTGCTGAGTTGCTTCGTCATGTTGTGCTGCATTCTTTGACAAGCTACGGCCGCTCGCTTCTCTCCTCCTGTGAGTGTCCCTCTTGTTGCTGCTGTTGTTGCTGCTGCTGCTGGCCTTCCTGGGAGAGTCCGTGTTGGTTTGTTTGCTTGAGTTCTCCATCTCCATAAACGGAGCCGGAAAGGCTCTCCGTGCTGCTAGTCTTGCTGTAGCGCCGCGTGTCCTGCTGCTCCTGGTGCTCCTGCGAGGCCTGCAGAGCTGTGCCTGACGCACCACCGGCGGGATGATGCCGCCGCTTCTCTGCCTGCAGGTCCACTATAAATGCCGTCATGTTGTCGCAACCATACTCAAAGAGCGCTGGGTTGGGAGATATCAATGAGTCAAACAGCTCCTTCAGGATCTGACACAAGTCCGGAGTGTGCTGCACGCGCACAAGACGCCAAGCCCCAAAGCCACAAACCCTAACCCCAAGCTCTAAACGCCAAACCCACAAAACGCACGTTTCAGCCTCCACCACTGAATGGCATTCGGGCGCGATGCAGCAGCAACAGCTGCAGCAGCAAACGCTGCAGCAGCAACAGCGGCAGCAGCAACAGCTGGAGAAGCAACAGCGGTAGCAGCAACAGCGGCAGCAGATACAGCTGGTGCAAGAAATTCTCAAAAATTCTTTCCCTCACCTCAATTCGCCGCCTCACGAACTCCACCACCTCAGCAGACGACAGCAGTTCCCAAATGCCGTCACATCCGATCACCTGGAGCAGCAGCGGCACTTGCACAAGAACGAAACCTGCATGAGGAGTCAGTGTTGAGCCTACTAAATTCTAACACTACGTGCTCATGCCTAAACCCTAAACCCTGGAGGACGGAGAGCGCACGAGAAACTCATCCCTCTCGGGGTCTCTGTTCACTGCCACGATGTCTGGGCAACCGGAGAGGATCTGCTTCTCGGGAGGAAGACTGTCATCTGCTTTGTACACCAAATCGCCCAACGCGCGCGACAAATTCAAATTCCCATTCACACGGCCCATTTCTAGAAACCCCCCGGCTGCATATATCCGGATCTGACAAAAGCAAAACAGCCAAACAAAACGACGCAAAACAAGTAAGACAAAACAGACCAGAATAGAGCTAAAAACGAAGAAGACCTAAAGCAAAACAAAATAAACTCCTTAGGAGATGCAAAAGGATGCAGATGCAGATACACCAGCCACCCAACCCACTGTCCTGCCCACACACACACGCCGGGAAAACGCCTCGACAGAGCAAGGAGGGCAGCAAATGCACCAGCATCGAACGCAGCAACAGCATACGTAGCAGCAGCAAACTCAGTAATGGCAGAAAGCAGCAACCGCAGCAGTGCTCTCAATGACCCCTAGCACTTTACTCCGTGCCCACAGCGCTACCTACCACCTAGCTAGCTAGCTAGCTAGCTGGCCAGCTAGCTAACTGGTGTTAGCCACAAAGCCTGCTTACCCTCTCCTCGGCTAGCTGGGGTTTGTGATCCTGAGATAGCTCGACAATCTCTCGTCCCCGACAAAGGACACAACGAGAGTCTCCCACATTTGCCACAATGAGACGCGTAGGCTGCGAGCAGCACAAAAATCTAGACCTGCTTACTAAGCCCTAGGCCCGCATGCACGCTGCAGCAGCAGCCCGCAACAGAGTTACATCTGGCAGTTGCTCCTAAGCAACGCAGCAAATGCAGCATCAGAAGCAGAAAGGTAGCAGCGGGAGAGACTGCAGTAACGACAGATGACACCCCGAAAACGAGAACAGCTCTGGCAGCAACTGCAGCAGCAGCAACTGCAGCAAAACCAACTGCAGAAGAAGCCACTGCGGTAACAACAACTGCAGAAACAACAGAAAAGGGTAGCAACTGCTGCAGGATAGTGCAAGTTGCTTACAGTAACACACACTGTGAGGGCGGTACTGCCCGCAGTGCTGGCGAGAGACCTGCCGCTGCTGCTGCTGCCGTTGCTGCGCCCAAAGAGTCTATTGAGGCCCACGGTGCGGGTGACAACATCAACAAGTCCTGAGAAACTAAGCTTCTTGCCTTTCTTGGTGGCTCCTGTCTCCTCCGGAGGTCCGGTCCCTGTCGCTGCTGCTGCAACTGTTGCTGCTGCTGCTGCTGCTGCTGCTGCCACCTCCTCCTCAGACGCAGCAGCAGGGGGATCCGATGCAGCCACTGCTGCCGCTGCCGCTGTTGATGCTGCAGCAACTGCTGCTGCTGCTTGACTGTCTGGTTCTGAGACGTAAGTCAAACTGCTTCGGGGAGTTGGCGGACCATCGGGGCCATTCGCTGCGTACGCAGCAAGGATAGCAGCGGCTCCGCTGCGCGCTGTGCTTCTCTCTGCTGCTGCTGCAGTGGCAGCTGCAGCTGCAGTTGCTGCTGTGGCCTGGATACTGAACGTTGCCAGCGAGTCTTCTCCAGGACTCCGCAGCGATCTGCCGTGCAGCTCTTCTTCGGTGCTCCGAGCAGCAATAGCCCCCGTTTGTTGCTTGCTAGGGGCCTCCCCCAAAGAGCTGCTGTTCACGCCTGTGCGACTTACCTGCCCCGCTGCTGCCTGCTGCTGCTGCTGCTGCTGCTGCTGGGACTTCACGCCGAAGTGCTGCCCCAGGTTCGATAGGGTGGACCTGAGCCCTTTGTGCTGTGCGGGTGCTGCGGCGGCACTGGCGTCCTGTTCGTGTTGATGCTGCTGCTGTTCTTGCTGGAGCTGCAGCTTGTGCTGCAGCAGCTGATGGGGCGAATGGGAAGTCAGATACAGCAGGTCGTCTTGGCTGCTCTCCTCCCGCAGTAAATCATCTATCCGTAAATATGCGTTCCGCAGCGCGGTGCTGAGGTCTCCTCGGTGGAAGGCGGGCTGGCACTCCAGGAGCGGCTTCATGTGTGCAGCAGCAAACCTGAGCAGCAGCAGCAACACCAGCAATACTTAACTGTTTAATTCCCAACTACACTGCCCCAGAAAACTCAGCTGCGAGAAAAACAGCAGCTGCAGCAGCTGCAACAACTGCAGCAGTTCGTGCAATACACGAGCGGCAGCAAACCGAGAGTAAAACTGGAGATCATCAGCAACAACCGCACAAGCTGCTGCAGCAGCAGGCAGCAGAAGCAAGCCATGTGACAAGCCACGATTACCTGGACACGTGGGCGCCTCCATGGCCATCAAAGACAGCAAATATGCACAAATCGGCGTGCTGCACTGTCTGGCTAGACGGAGTGCCGAGCCCCCACGCAGAGTGGCCCCCAACAGCCTCTTGCCCAGAAGGGCCCCCCCTACCTACTGAGGCAGGAGGGAGCCCCGCAGAAGCAGCCGTACCCAGCGCAGCACCAGAAGAGCCAGCACCCGCAGCCTCAGCCGCATCAGTTTCAGTAGCAGCAGGGGTGCCCCGGCGCCTCAATGTAAACTGGCGCCGCACAACTCTGCCGACTTTGTTGGTCTTCTTGCCGCTGGGGGTTGCTGATGCGTCTCCTTCAATAGCTTCCGCTGCTTCACCATCAGCCGCATCCCCCCCATCTTCTGCTGCTGCTGCTGCTGCTGCTGTTGCCGGGGCAGCAACAGCTGAGGAGGACACACCCCCCACCTCATCCTTCTGCATCTCCACCTCCGCTGGCAGGAAGACATAACAACCGTCCGAGCCGCGCTGAGAGCCTACTCCCAATCCCGGTCCCGATCCCGACCCCAAGAGCAGCTGAGAAAGCAGCTGCTGCTGCACCCCACCCGCAGACAGTCTGGGCCCCAGCGGGCTTAGCTCGTCCTTCTGCTGCTGCTGCTGAACGCCTGCGACCTCCAAAGGGGCTCCCTCGCGCGGAGAAGCGTAGGAAGGACCACCCGCAGCATTTGCTGCTGAGGCACCTCCCACTCGCTTGGCATACAGCACTAAATGGGCATCCTCCATAGAAACGCGCCAGCCCTGCATGCTGCATACACCCCAGCGGAGGCCCATAGACTCGCAGGCCCCCGAAGCCACCTCCTTCCCCGATAGGGGACTGGAGAGATAGGTGCCCATTGCATAGGCCGAACAAGGGAGGACAAGAGGACTGAGCTGTACAGACGCCGCACGCCGGCGGCGGCAGCACAGCAGAGGAGGCGCCAACGCAGGGGCCAACGCAGGCCTCAACAATATCTGCACAGGCACGCTGGCCAGTGTACAGCCAGCATAGTAGACGCACGTCGCTCTGGACCCTTGCTGCTGCTGCTGCTGTCGCCGTGGCGAATACTGCTGCTGCTGCGTGCTACGCGCCCACTGCGGCGGCAGCCAAACTGCCGCAAGTTCCCCTGCACCTCGACCTCCCCCTCAGCTGAAGCCTACAAGACACAGAGGCCTCTAGGGAGGCACGGACCCCCTCCTAAAGCTGGGTGGTAGGGGAACAAAGCACGACAGTTACTATTAAGACAAACAGGGCCCCTGCTGCGCTGCAGAGCCCCACAGCGGCGGCAGAGGAGTCAGGCTGCTGTTATTAAGACAGTAAAAGAAGACAGGAATGGCCTGCAGCGCGAGAAAGAGGCTGCGGGAAGGAAGCACGAGTTGCCTGGGCTTGGGCCCCCGGTTGCTCCGTTGCGCGCAACGGCCCTGCTGCAGCAATGCTGCAGCAAAGGACACACCGCTGGTCTGCTGGCCTTCGTAGCAAGAAAGAACTAAACGGTAAACTCCAACGCCTTCAAACATAGACAGTTTGCTGCTACAGACGAAGCTGCTGCTGCTGCTGCTGCTGCTGCTGCTGCGCCTGTGGTCTAGGGAGCCCCGACACGCACGCACTTCATCTTTAGTTGCCTCCTTACCAGTAGTTTGGTTTATTATAGACTTTAAATGGAAAGCAAGAAAATTAAATTGTCAAAAATGCGACGAAAAAGGGGCTTCAGCCGCGAACACACGACAGTTTCGGCTGCCGCCTGCCCGGCCCCCCTACTATGCTCACTCACCTGTTGAGGAGCTAAGCGTTTTGCTGCTTTTCCGACCCCATGCCTCAGTCTTAACAGTGTGCGATTTAGGTTGTGGAATTAGGCGTTCACAGGCTCCTCCTCTTTGAAGGCAATCGCCGTGGGGGCTAGCGGTTCGGCGAGCGACGCCGTCAGTCCTAGTTAGCATAGCCCGGGGCTAGTGGGCTAGTGAGGGAGGCCCGAAACATGCGGTTCCAATGGGTGGGCATGAACGCCGAAAGGCACCTTAGAAGAGCAAAACCTCAGGCCTACCGTCTTGTCAGGGACCCCGTAGGTGGCCTGCCAAGGAGACTGCAAATCGTTGCTGTTCTCCGGGAGGCGGTTGTTGCTGACTTTTGTTGTGAGGGAGGAGCGGGATGGTGGGGGAAGAATTTTTGTCTGCCAATTGGTGGGGCCGAGTAAAGAATGAGGAGGTGCAGGTACACAACGGACTAAATGGGGTTTGGCTTCGCCTGCTTCCTCGATCGGAGCGGAGGACCGCTGTGAACTACAGTAGAGTCGAAATCCTAAGATTCGGAAAAGCGGCTAGCCTACCTTCGACTCTTCGGGCCTTCTGGGCGCACCAGTACAAGGTCACGGGCTGCTGTCCAGAGGCAGTATCTCATGATTTTCAACGCACCATACTGCAACTCCCACTACAGGGCAGCCGTATTTGCGAGCACAGCCGAGCCCCCTTGACTGCATGCAGTAACACAGTAGAGAATTGTTGAACATTCCTTTGACCTCAGCATCCAACCAGGATGCAAGTAGAAGAGCACGGATAAACTTCGGAGACACCATTCAACACCTGCCCGGCACACTCGCGTAGGCGGCACCTCGTGCTCTTAGATTGTCAAAAAGGAGTGGGGGGCAGCGGGGGAAAAAGACAACTCGAAAAGGCTCAAGACAAGATTCCAAAAGAGTAGCTGTACCTCCTCTGCTTTCTAGGCATCCTGGGCAGTGCGAAGCCAGTGCTTGTGGCTGGTCGGCTGAGGAGCTGGCCTGGCGTGAGTTGGAACACACCTTGCCGCAACTTCTACTGCTGCAGGGCAATCTTATATGCAAACATAGACAAGCGTCCTTTGCTGCATACACAAAACTAGCTATAACTAGCCTGAACGCACGTAGAAATGCACGAGCGAATTTCACAGACCGTGCTACATCTGGCCCACCCTCTCCTCCAAGCAGCTCACGCGTTTATGTGCCTGGTCTCCTAGAAATGGGTGAATGAAACTAGGGTAGGGCATACAACACGAGCCGCCTCTCAAAACTGAAGTGCTTGGTGCCAAACTTTCTGCACATGTATTTCAGAAGGCCTTGTCCAAGGTGTAATCTTCTTCGTTCACTTCATATGGGTTACGCATCCAGAGTGGCTTCTGCTTCTCCAGTTTTTCCTGCTGGCGTTCCTGTGTTTTCTTCATGAATTCCAGCGCTGCTTCGAATTGTGTTAATACGTTTACAGCTGGATGGGCACGGGGTTGGCTGCGGAGAACCAGGCCCAGCGCCGGCTCAAATAAAGGCTTTACAGAATCGACCAGGGAGGCGGGAGAACAATTGGCTGATGAGTGCAACGTTGTATTATATGCCCATTTTTAGACTTAACCCGGCCCGCCAGAAGGAGCTGTCAACGCGCTCTACTCCTGCGTTGATCCCATCATCACCCTGTGAGGCATGATCGGGCACGTTGCTCAAAACTTGCCTACGAACCAAATTTTTAACGTATTCTTTGAGGAGTCCATGGTACGTCTGGTAACATGCGAGGCCGCCGTCCGTGCTGCCCTCACCCCGTTGTCCGCTGTTGAGTTTGGCAAGGATGGCTGGCGCGTCACTGTCCAACGGGCGGCGAGAAATACCCAATCTGGAGAGGAAATCATTACAGATACACCAGTTGTGGATGAAAGGGCCTGGCCGGCAACGCGTCGGGAAAGTGCGTCAGCGGTCACGTGAACGATACCCTTGATGCGCATGGCGTATTTCGTATTAGCGGGAGCCGCCACAGCATACAACCGAGTTTTGTGTTTTCAATACTCTTGAAAACGCTTCATCAGGTGCCTTCGGTATTGATGATGATCGTGTGAATCGCCTGCCACATTAGCAATATGGGCATTTCTTGACCCCTTATACGACCTCCTAGAGCTCTTTCTAACTCACCGGATATGCCTGCACTAACTTCCATTAAAAGGTCTGAGTATCGGGCAAGTATTTGGTGGTCTTTTGAGCCGTTAGGCTTCTTAGAGAGCAATATTCCAAGTAATTTGTCGCTTCCATAGGCAGTTAGGAAGAAGGGCTTGTCAAAATCAGAGGGCATCACTACCCGAGAACGACGTAATGAGCCTGACTGCGGCTCGTGGCGATTTCTTCTTCGAGCTCCCTCCACATTATTGGTATTTCCCTATTGAGTAGATACGTAATAAGAGTGGGAATGACAGACAATCCAGGATTGAAGTTGCCGTAGTACGACGCGAAGGCGATAAAAGAAACTTCCGTGAGAGTGTACAGGGGTAGTGGCCACGTCCGATTTCTACCTCTTCCGGATCTGGCTTAAACCACGTCCCCCCCGCGCACCGATGCGGAACCCTAAGAATGTAATTGTCTGCATGAAAAGTGGACGATTTCGTGTTTTGGCGAGTGGCTTCTTCCCAAGTACCAGTCACAGAGCACGCCGCAGGTGCTGTCAGTGCTAGTTTCGGGTGCCGACTTTGCACTGCAGCGGAGTCTGTTCGATACTTTCTCTTCGAGGAACAGATTAACCTCTCTCGGTAGAGGATGACAATGCTGTAGATAGCGCTAAGAAGTGCGCCATGTCATCGCTTCCTTGTAATGCACACCTCAATAACGCCTTCTGGAAGCAATCTCAAACGGCCGGCCAAGGATTATTTCGTGAAGGGGCCCAAAGTAGTAAGTCCAGCATCACGGTAATGTAACCGATTTCTGAGTTGAATCCACGCTTTACCCCCATACTTTTACGGGTCTTAGTGTCCTGTCTACCACTGGCGAAGCATAGTCGCAGAGAGTCAACCAAGGAATGTGTAATTAGGCTGCAGCCTGCAGCCTGTCGCCATAGCTTCCCATGTCAGATCCGCTTCGGAGCATATGCCAAGTAATACTAGCAACTCCTGACCATTAATGTGAACTTAAACGATGACAGAGTTAACCGGATGCAGATATGCATGTAACGCCTAGCGCCTCGTGATTGCCCCGCATACTGCGTGGGGGCCAAGGCACTTCGTTGACCGGTTGGTTGGCTCCCCAGCTAGCGCTGCACAAATGCTTCTCCAGTTACTTAGCCCTGTTCTTGCCTCTCAGATTATGTAACTGTAATTAGGTCTCCTTGTTTGTTGTGGAAGGAGCAGCTGCGCCTCCCGGTTTTTTGAAGGCCTAATTCGCACACTGCCAATTGTGCTCTCTCTGTAGCGTTGTTTCTGTGAGGGACTGGCATTCACAGCCTTATTATCCGCAGGCTGTATATTTGGGAAATATTTAAAGCCCTTTTATTTCCTCCAAGCCTGCGCGATTCAAGCGGCGTTTTCTCTGCGATGCGTACGCACTACATCATGCCAGCGAGTTTCACCAATCTCGTCCTTACTTTCCTCTCCTCTTCTCAGCTAGTTGCCAATTACCTCTCTTCAGGTGCAGTCTTGCAATGAAGTACAAGCTCTGAGTTTACGATTGGAGTTTTTCCACCAAGGACTGAAACTTCTCGGCGTAGCGCTCTATCGACAGCCTCCCTTGTTGAAGTTCCCTTAGTCCTGCGGTAGCCTGCTCCCTAACAAACCATCCCACAAACCTGCGAACAAGACTAAATCGCAGCGCATGTAGGAATGCACAATGCTTCCATCGTTCTAATGCGGTTTAGAAAAGTGGCGCCTTTGCTAAGATATAACCGCCACTGCCGTGCCGCCCCATGTAACGAAAAGTATTCCAATAGCAGCTGTAGCAGCTTCCAATCTTAAGACGAAGGCACGCCCCCAAAGAAGCAAACAATTTTTTCACTGCCTCCGCATCGCTGTGCCCAGCACAATGGGATGGTCAACAAAGGCTGAGGCATTCTTCATGAATTGTTTTCGCTTCGAAGAAATTGTCGGCTGAATGGACTGCAGGCATTGCTCCATTTTCAACGCGACCGACTTGTTGGTCGCGTCCTCGCCAAATAGGATCTGACCAAACATCATTTTTCACGAAGAGGTAAGAGATAGACACTCGACAAAGATTTTAGAGAAAAATATAAGATACCGCTTTTCCTTTTCTTCAAGGCGCCATCACGACTCATCTGCGCTATGCACGGGGTCGCCCAGCTGTAGTGCTGAAATTCGCTGCTCGCGCCTAGAGCCTCCAAACTATGCGGTGCCGGAAAGTGCAACGACCGTCCACTAGCCGAGGACAGTCGTGAGCGACAAGAGAGCCAAAAATATTCGAGATAAGATTTCCCGGAAAACGCCTGGCCTCCTCTCTACTCCTCTGGCGTGCGCTCAGAGCAAAGCAAGTGCTTGGGGTCGGCGCGGACAGGACGCGGTTTTGCTATGAGTTGCAGTGGGTTGATGCAACTTCTGCAAAAGACCGCCCCACATGCAAGCACAGACGAGTGCGCTTTGGTGCACTGAATATTATGGTAGACCATTGTTAAACACTTCCTTGGTCCGCAGCAGCCAGCCTGCACTAATGTAGAAATAGAAGGACCAATTTCAGACGGACAGTCCTAAGTTTCTGGCCTCAGCCATGGCCCGGTCGCCTGCTCTCTGTAGGCTCGAGCTGAGTTGTAGCTGTGGAGCAGCGCAAACTGAACTGGAGTGGGCCCTTTCAAACCGCTGATGTGTATTAGTGTGGCAGAGTATGGGAGCGGTGCCGTAATGTATATGCCATGAAGTTCATTGAGTAGTGTACAGAAGTAGCCCGCCACATTGGACTCCTCGACGTGGACGCAGGAAGATGTGTTTGGAGGCAAAGGGGCTTGGATGCGCATTCATGCCTTGCCGCCCCTTGCGGAGATCTGCCGCAGAGTTTGCGACAGCCTATCAAACAAGGGGCCATGGCTGAGCAGTAGACTTTTGTGTTTCAGCTGAAATGCAGACTGGCTGCTGAGCGCAAAGGAAGTGTTTGACAATCGTGTACAGTCGCATTTATTGCAGCAAAGGGCGTTTGCGTGGGAACCTGATCTGAAGACGGAGCGATCCAACACTCTGTACTACACCGTAGTAGCCAGCATATATATGTGTGCTTCTGAGTCTCCACTATATTTATTCGACTTCCATGCAGACGCTGGTGGTCTTCAGAAACAAGGAGCCTCTCAGCTACCCTATCCCATTCCTTCAGGCCTACAGGGTGCTTGTTCATTCACTGAAATTGTTGGCTGGAAGCATAGGCTTAGCTACAGCTTGCTTTACGCCCCACTGGTGCACAGATTACCAAGCCTTCAGGCGGGGACTGGGACAAGCGGAGCCAAGAGACAGGAGGGGGACCTCGGGCCCTAATGCTTTAGCTGGGCTTTTATGGCTCGGGTGCCCTCAGCACAACTGTGGGGGCTCCTTGTGCAGGCGCACCGCATGAGTCCTGCCCAGCTGATAGCCCTGCCCCAAAGCTTGGCTGCTTCTAAGATTCAACAGACGCCTTAACGTTCTCAGCTCTTTGCTAGGTAGCTGCGCTTCTGCCGAGCCGGCACACAACGAGAACTGAGGAAAGGCAGCACACACTCTCGATTGATTAGCGCCTAAATCAGGCGCATACACTGCGAATCAGCCGTTTGGCAGCATTCTAGCGAATTCGTGAATACAGTACCGATGAAAAAACGGAACCGATGATGCTTGGGCACTACGCTCCTAGCAGTCCAAGCGCCAAGAGGCCCCTGTGAAAGGCGCGCCCCAGGGGCTGCTGCTGCAGCTCCTGCACTTAGGACGGCAGCTAAGGGAACGCCTCTAATCTTCAGGCGGGGTCACCTCGACCTCCGGGTGGGGGTCCTGGGGCGAAGCCGTTCGGTATCTGCAGCTGAGCCAACTGGTCTGAGGTCCCCATCTTGGGGCGACATACTGCCTGAGGCCCTTTCTGAGTAGAAAGCACGGTTCGAAGAGAAACTTTCAATGCCCAACACCGACAGGACCTGCAAAAGTAAACACCCACGAAAAAAATGGCTTTTATGATCTGCGCACCCGCAGCCAATGGAATTGCAGAAAGCAGGAGTTGCGGCATCACGAGGTGAAGCAGCTGCAGCGGCAGGAGGAGAAGCACAGCGGCGCCTTGTCCTTCAGCTCTGTGGAACAGAGCAACAACTAGAATCTCCCAAAAGAAGTTATAAGCGCCTGGCTATGCCGGGGAACCCCATGCATGCGATGAAGCATCATCTCACTGCGAAGAGAGTCAACACTACGGAGATTCCTAAGGCGTTGGCCAGAAGGTTTGCGCTCCCAAAAAGCGGAGCTTTGGGGCTCTTGTTGCGCAGGAAGGACTGCTTCTGCATCAGCCCCGAGGAGACAGCCGCCAGAGCCCCCGAGTAGCTGCACCGAACAACCCAGAGGAGGAAACAAAGACAGATAACAAGAAATGCCCCAAAACATTCAGCCAGAGGGAAAGATGAAATACGCACTCTCAATGCACGCTGACAAATACGCATTAACATATGTCGACAAAGAAGTATAAAGAAGCAAGCAGCGTTCAATGCACGCAGACCAGAGGTCTTTACCCCACCCTAATCCCGCACCCTACACCACCTCTATCCCGCACCCTTCTCTGTTCCTCGGCACTACGTAGAGACAGCAGCACAAACAAACTGTTATTAGCAAACTTCAGCCAAACGGAGTGGGCCCTTCTCCCTTGCGAGAAGCGACGGCAGCAGAAAGGCGCAGTGGCAATGAGACAGCACAACAGACAGTCAAGATTCCCCTCCAACGCTCTGCCAGGAAACACAGACCCCTCCTGTCAGCCAAGGCATTTCGCACATACAAAGCTTTGTACGGCCCTCGGAATACCCAAGAGGCATCGCATGGGCCTCACAAGTCAATTAACCAGAACTTCAATGCCACCTTGAAGCCTTTAGGAGGCCGTTCACCGCCAAAAAATTGACAAAGAGACCCTTAAGCAGCTGTAGTGCGCCATTGATACCTAACTTACATGCCAAGGCCCCCTATTTTGTGGTAGCGTAGATAAGCGGCCTTCACGGTCCCTGGTGCGAAACCCGGCAGCCAGAATATGAGGAGACCTGGGGGCACAAAGAGGCAGCCTCACGCGCCTAGGCGGCACTCTAGCGAAACTCGCCGAGCTCAGGAGGTGAGTCGGGAAATGAGAGACAGTTTGGTTCCAAGGCCAACCGTGCACTGTTGAATCTGGCTTGGGCAAGTTGCGCTCAGGGCAGATTGGCGTTCAGGGGTTGCGCTCACCGGAAAGGAACTGACACCATGACAAGACGTACACCGCCATTCCAATCCAACTATGAACGCTGCAACCACACATTTCCCAGTGACAGGTGAGACTTGTGAAATGCGCGAAGCGGCCCCCACGGAATCACAACGACTCCCCACAGCATTGAGGCCTGCCTGCGGCTGGGGCTCTACAGTTTTCTCTGTCGCACAGCCCGGCTAAAACCGGAAGAAACTCCTTTTTGGAATCGTGAAGGGCAACAGACGTTCGCCCCAGAGGTTCGTGCGAACCCTCAAGGTGAAAAACACCTTCTTAAGAGTTGCCCAACCCCTGAAGAGGTGCCGGGCCCCTCGTTGGCTAACGGGACCCTGCAGGAATGAATGTAAGACCTGTAAAAATTTGGAAATTCGTTGGAATTGTGAAAGAGGATCACGACCGTCAAGGCAGCGATGCCAAACAAGAATGAAGCCAACTGCAGACAGGCGTGCACTGTCTTGGCAGCTGCATGACGGAGACCGAGAGCCTTAAAGCTGATAAGCTGAAGTTCCCAAGAAACAGAGTGCACACAGAAAAAAGCCCGAAGAAAGATGAGCCCATAACATACCTGCGTTCCCCGACGGCTGCGCAACTTAAACCCTGTACAAGAAGCCCCTCAAGCCCGCAACCCTTGGCCCCCAAGCCGAGCACGCACAGAACAACAAGGGAGTCTCGCGCTTCAAGGAAAGAAGGGCCACGCAACATCTCCTAAGGAGACAACTGGGAAAGACAGCCGGTGATGCTCAAGACAGCAGGCATGACGTGAACCTATGAGAGGGCCCACCGACTCTGTCGATGCCACCCCGAAAGCCAAGATGTTCAGTAGCGGATGAAAGTTAAAGAACTGAACTGCAACAAACAGCAGCAGAAACCGTATAGGAGACCATGTTGTAGCATGTGTAGATATTTTGACCGCCAGTGGTAGCCGTGCAGCTCAAGTTTAGCTTCGCCTTTATTATGAGATGGCATTCCAGCAGTCTTCTGTTTTTTGCGCCTTGCACCTGTGCAGCGAATGCCCAAGAAAGAGGGGTGAGATGCACAAGAGATACAAAACGGCGACCATGCAACACGCACACTCTGCAGGAGAGCTCTCAAGTCAGTCGTCTCCCGTTTTTCTCTTTGCAAGGCAGACAATGAAGCCCCCACTTCCCCTGCGAGGGTGTGCCACTCCCCTGCTGGGGTGTGGAGGGCCAGTGAATGCAGTCTCTATCTGCTCAAAAGCCCACCTGAAGTAATGTCGCTTATAGCGAAGCCGCCGCCCCATTCAGCCTGCAGGCACAAAGACAGCTGAAGGCCAAAAAGCAGCACCACGAAGGCCTGCGTCAGCCAGAAGAACCGCCGGCTGTCCGCTGCTAGCTCTCCTGTTTCCATTTGCACTGCGAAGGCACGAGGTCCTATGTGTTGTCTTTGCCTGCAGTGGCCTCTTTCGTCGGCCGTGGTAACAGGAAAGAGAATTACTCAGTGTATTGCCTGTAGACGTCACCGCCTCTGCTGCTACTGCTTCTACTGCTGCTACTTGTTGCTGCTGCTATCCCGCTGTGCGCATTCAGCTCCGTCGAAGGCAAAGGCGTATCCAGCAAGGCCAGCCACCACAGAAAGGGAATCGCTGGGCGAGACGGAATGAGGACAAACCTGAAGGCACAGGTACACGTTACGAATGCGCAAGCCACTACATGCACATACGTGCAGCTCTAAGGGAGCACGCAGGAACGCTTATCCATGCTAACTTGTGTGCACGGAGGTAACCGGGGGCGAAGGCCATGCGCAAGTTTGAATGAACTTTCGTGTGGGAAGGCAGAATCGGTGGAGTCAAAGCTCTCTAAGCTTAAGCTCTCTAGACTGAAGCTCTCTAAGTTTCAAACCTAATCAACTATGAGGGCCCATATTTACCAGGGAAGGGGAAAATAATAGGGACGGTGGGGGACGCTTCGCTCATGGGGCATTGAGTCACCTGGACAGGAACTCTCGGTGGCAGGACAAAAACGCAATTGATGCACGTGGTGAACATATATTCTGCAGGATTCCTCAAGATGAGAATGCCTTAATACACTTTTTATGTGAGTTCCTGTCAGGAGGTGGCTACAAGTGCAACAAACAGCCGCACACAGTACCACACTGGGCCGCCATTGCTCACTTCCGTTGGGCGCGTTTCCAAGGCGCATCCCTCCGCCTGCTCTGGAGAACACAGAAGGAAAGCAAAATTGTCTAATTCATTTCAGAGAGTAGATCGGAGCCGATTTTTCACACACCAGAGAACTGCCCATACTTTAGTAGCCATGCTCCCTCTGCGGTCAAACTCTTGAGCCGGACGATGGTGGGTAAGCATTTGCATTTCATCACTCTGTTAGCACTGAAATGATTGTTTGGAACAGGTCTTCTTTTCTGTCTGGATTCTTTTTGTGTCTTTGCCCATGAAGAAGCCTCCAAATATCTCCAGACCCTCACCTTCGGGTCGTTGCCGCGGCACTGCGGTCTTCTGATATGTAGGAAGTGAACATTCTTCGCATTGTATTTTTGTGGGTAACCGTGCATTTAAAACGGAGCTGCAAGAAATTTAATGCGGAAGGAGGCGCATTTTTCCAGGACTTCCCTGAAGTACGCGTTGCCTTTTCGGGAGACTGTCCGCTGTGCTGGAAGCTGCTCCATGCTACCGACATTGGTTATTAGCCCTTTGAGGGCTTTTTGTCACAATGAATCACGCGTCGCGCGCCCTTCCAGGGCCTCTTTCCTTGACCGCCTTTTGAAAGCTCCACGCGCCAACCGAGCATTAGTGCCTCCCTGCGTCACTGCAACCCAGACTAAATCGCGTGCAGTCGCGAGTGGTGCGTGGATGGGCATTAAAGGCGCGGTGCTCAGGGCATGTAGTCAAAAGTTAGGCGTCCGCCATCCCAGCAAGTGTAGTTACTACCAGTTGCGTCCCTTTCATTCACACCCCCAGGCGCGGAACACGCAAAAATCGACAAAAGGCAAACATAGGGAGGCCCTAGTAGGCCCCGACTTGGTCTACAAGGCCAAGGCAAGTAATTACACCTGCTGGACAACGCTGTTTTCAAGGGCGGGACGCGGCTAACATCATTTGTCGTGCATGCCGAGTCCCGTCCTGTGTATCTCTCTCGTTGGGGTTCACTCAAAATCCAGCCCTTCCTTCAGCTTAATACTGCTTGAAGCTGCAGGGGCAACTGCAGATGGGTGGAACTCCCCTCTGGTTCACCTGTGCCCTAGCATCCCCTCTGTGTCTCTTGGTTTTTTGTGTCTGCGTTTCAGTGGGATGTGTACACGCCACAGCAAGTGGAATCTGCTTGGTACGCCTCTTCTGAGGCGTTGGGATCCAAGTGGGGAAAGGGGATTTCCCCCGTAGTCTCTAATGGCCCCTCACGAACTCCTCCTGTCTCTGAGGGCTGTGACGCCGGGGGGCTGGACAGGAAGAGACAATTGGAGACGGACGGGCAGGAGCAGATCCTGCTGCTGCGCCACGTTTGGGAACAGCAAGGACAGCTTTCACCTTTTCAGGCGGCGGACTTGGCTTATTTTATAGCCCGTAGAAAGAACCCTCCAGAGCGACTGCTGCACCAGCTCGTTTCTCATGTGCTCCACAGCCATCCAGAAAGACGCCTCTCTGTCCTTAGGATACACAGGAAAGTTGTCACGTCCCGTCTTAGCTTTCTCGTGCCTGCGGCACCTGCCTTCCGCGTCAGGTCTCTATCTAATGCCAGATCCTCGTCTTTGGCTCTCGGGGGTTGTTTCTTGTTTTCTGTCGGCTGGTGTTCTCATTGTATTGCCAACTGTTGTACTTGCTGTTGCCTGTATGCTGTTGCTTGTCTACGGTCTGTGACTTTCTGTTCTCGCTTGTCTCCAACTCGATATTCAGCGTACGGGTCTCTCCTCTGAGCCTTTCGGGATTACGTTTGGCCTAAGCTCTGCCGTGTCCTGTCTGCTTCTGCATTTTCAATCCAAATTGGAACAAAACGGAGAGAAGGAGGAATGAGGGAGGGTGACGCTGTTCTCTCGGAGTGGTGGAATGGGATTGCTTCTGTGTGTTCCTAGGAGGAATTTATGCTTCTTTCTGTAGACGCTGTTTCGAAGGCCGTTCAGAAACACCATTGGGCTCGGGCTTCTGTGTTTGTGGGTGTATAGACTGCTGAGAGTTTTTCAGCTCGTGCCAGGTGTGGCCGAGAGGGATGTACTGGGCCCGCTGTGTGGAGCCCTGCAGCGCCGGGCGTCTCTGCTCAATCCGGCGGACCTGCAGCTCCTGCTCTCCGATTTCTCGGCTATCTACACACCGCAGTTCTTGCCCTTCTTCTGTGCTGCAGCGCGAGTCCTGAAACAGTGCAGAGGGGGTCCGCTCGAGAGCCCGGCTCCTGCGGAGGGGCCAGCAGCTCTACGGGTGCACGAGGCTGTCGAAGCAGCAACCAGCGGCAGCAGTAGCAGCGCCAGCAGCGCCAGCAGCGCCAGCAGCAACAGTAGCAGCTTCCGCAGGATAAAAGCATTCGATTGCAGGGAAGAAGGGCTGTCCCCTGTCCAGGCGTGTTTCCTTCTTCATGCCCTGGGTGAGCTAAGGGCGATGCCTTTATTTTTAACAGAAGCCTATTGATGAGCTGTTGCCATTTGCATCTGGCTCCTTGCAGATTTAGCGCGTCTTTCTAAAACTAATGCGGTGTGTTTCTGCACCTGACCGGGGCCACATCGCAGGGAGTTTTGTCTCTGCTTCGAGCGGCATACCTGTTGCTTCATTCTCCAGCGCAGTTGTAGGAACTACTTTGACTTTTTGTGCGAGGTTTGCTGCTGCTGCTGCTGCTGTTCCTGCTCGACTGATTCAGGGCGAACGGACTTCCGAGATTCGGCCCTTTTCTCGATGCTTGTAGAAACGGTTGATGGCGCTGTTTCGCAGCTGCTCGTCTATGGACATCAGCAAGAGAGACGAAGGCAGAGACTCGACACCAGCGTATGGATGTCTCATGAGGAGCTGCTGCTGAAGGAAGACCCTGAAGCTTTCCCTGGGGCCGCAGGCGAGCCGCCTCGGTGCGGGGGCTTATGGCAGGCCGCGGCGGAACTGACGGGGGAGGCGCTGGTTATGTGCGCAAAGGGTTTGGCGAACCTCAACTACAAACCGACAAGCGCGCAACTCCGTCGCCTTGTAGAGGTGCTGGTGCCTTATCTGCTTTGTGAAGAGGTGCGGTGTGCCGGGTAATATGCCTCATGGTCGGGTGTCTGCAGTGTCTGCAGCCGTCACGAAGAAAAACCTGAAGCTCTGTCTCACCAACTTTTGACATGCTCTGGAGGGAGAAGGCTATTGGGCTAGTCCGCTTTTTCTCCGAAATTTATTTAGAAAAGGACTTCACAAAAACATATTGAAGTTTTTATATAAGGGCATGAAGCAGCATGCAGATAGACTGAAATATCGCGTGCCTGTGATGCTGTACACGATATTATTAAAGGGTTGGCTTATCTTCACATCCAGGGGTGGAGGGTTTTGGTATCTCCCTTCTCTTGCTCACGCATTTCCGCATGCAGGGGTGTTTATGTCTTCTGCTGCTCCCGCCCCTGCTTTGCGACGCAGCCTTCAGTGCTTGGCCATGCACCTTCGGCGCGTCGGCTACCCCTGGTCTTCGGAGCTGTATCCGGTCTGACGCGGCTTGGGGCAGGGCCTGAAGGCCTGCGGAGGCTGATAGAGGAGGTCTGTTCCCAACCTCTGAAGGCCATGGGCCCCTACGAGCCGTGCGACCTTCTCGCTGCTGCTGCAGCATTGGAACCGGTGGCCGCGCTTCCGCCTGATGTCGCAGCAGCTGCTATCAGGACCCTTGAGGCCAACTTGTTGCAGGGGATGTCTCCCGCTGAAGCAGCCAGAACGCTTTCAGAGCTTGCATCGGCAGCGCCCAAATCATCAGCAGCAGCTACAACAGCCGCCACAGCTGGGGTTGCGAGCTCGGCCGTGTGTGATGTTGCTGGCGTAGGGGGAGATGCAATGGAGACCTTTAGGGCTAGGACAGTTAGTGAAGACGACCCCTGGGCATCTGTTGAAGATGCGCGTCTCAGTCCCTGCTCTCCTTTTCGGTCAGCTGCCAACTGTTACCTTCTTACGGTTGCTGTTGGCCTAGCGAGAATCCGTCCCTTCCTCTTTGCTCTGCATCCCGCTTTTCGTGTTTCTACTCTGAATATCTTGGCTTCACTGGAGGCCCTTGTAACCCCAGCCCACAGGCCTCCGAGCAAAATGGCCTCTGTTCGGCAACAGCAGCAGCAACAGCAGGAGCAACAGAACCAGCAGCAGCAGCGGCAGCAACCTAAGCCACTGGTAAACTATAGCATTGCCCAGCAAGCTGCTTCGGGTGGCATGGGCACTAGCGACGATGCAGTGGGAACGCCGAGACAACAGGCGCCACACTGCAATGGCAAACAGGCCCAGCACGTGAGTACGAAGCGAGGTCTCTCGGCAGAGTCTGGAGGGCGTGGGAGGCCTCCGTTGCACCCCGTCCTACGGCATTTAATCTTGTCGCTGTTCTACCGCCTGCCATGCTTATCGCTGCGGCTGCTGGTTGAGTTCATGGATGCTCTACGGGTTTGCGATTTCGCTCAAAGGGAACAGACTGAGGGGCTGTTCCCTCACGGCAAGAACAGTAGATGGCACAGGTCAGTCAGCGCGGCCTCCCCAGGAGCTTGAAAGGAAGTTGCCTCACCTGCGCACAAAAGAAAAATGATGCACACGAGGACTCGTCAATCCCGTGCATAAACTTCCAGGAGAGCCTATATGCAGACTCGTACACACACCAGGGCGAATACCAGCATATGCGTCTGGAAGTGTACACCAGAGGAAAAAGAGGCAGGGCCAGTAGCTTTTCGCTACACCGGGCGCAACACTACACATGTGCAAGTGCTTGTCGGCACAGGCGCAGTGTGCAGCTGGCCCTTATCCACGATGAATGAGGGACATTCCTCGTGGATAAGGGCCAGCTGCACACTGCGGCTTGCTGCTGCGTGCACAGCCGTGGAGTGCGCAGAGGGCTGCTCTCCACTGCTATGCAGACAGTAGCAAGCAGATGCATGTACCTTTGAAGCGTGGGCATAGTGTGAGGGATGTGAATGCATGCATTCTTTTTTTTTCAACTGGACAGTTCCAAGTATTTATTGCATCAGGTATTGATGTATCTCTGAGTTCTTACGCACACCTCCATCTGCGCAGGGACAACGGAGATGCTTGTGTAGAACATGGGGCCCCATCCATTACTCCGTTCTGTGCCATGAACTGTGTTTGGAATGCGTGCGCATTATTGCGTGATAGGTGTATGAAGGTGGTAATGCTGGCGCATGGGTATTCCTGCCGTTGTGCCTTTTCCGTATCTTGCTTGCTGCGTGATTATAAAGGGTACATATATGTATCTGCAGCTAATGCTGTTCATGAGGTCGTCCACCCCGCACATACGAACCTTCTTTATGGATGCAAAGTGCTTTGCTTGTGCTTTTCCACCAACGGGTGGAGCAATAGGCTGCTCCATATAGGACAGTGGGGAAGTTCATTCATGGAGCACGTCGAGTTGGTTCTTAATGCATGAAGTAAACATGGGCGCGAGCAAGTGCATGCCTACATCTACACGCGTGCATTCATAAGGGCGCATAGTTGCTATCACACAAGAAGCAGCTGTCCCGGAATGCGACAAGGCCGATTGAACAGGACTTTTGGTCCTTTGGACACTCGGCCCTCGGCGTGAAGCGTCGCCGTTTGAGTCGCCCTTTATTCTTTTCAAAAATGTATGTAGGACATTTTGCTTGGCGCAGGCCCCTAATGCACGCGTTGGCAAGGGAAGCTGTTCGAAAGATGCATCAGGCGACCGCCGACTCAGTAGTCAAGTTTTTGGCGCTTTTTTATGTCGAGTTAGACGGCTACGAAGTGTCGCTAGGCCCTCTAATCTACGGCATGCACCGGTAAGGCTAATAAATTTTATGCTGAATGCGCGTTAGTGTTTCATACAACTGCAAGCGGGCGTCTTTGTCTCTTACAACACTGAAACAAGCTATCTGGGGTAATTACCCTCCTCCGAAGTGCTGCCCGGGCTACGTGCTCGTGATCGGGTAGAAATATATCTTTCTTTTGTCGAGGGTTTCGCGTGAGTCGGCGTCTGTTTGCAGATAGGAGCCAACACGATTCACTTCTTTCCTGTCTACGCATGCTCTCTGGCCGCTGTTTATGTCCGCCCCTGTCTGCCCGTTCCGTATGTTCTGCACTTCTCTGTCTCCTGCGTCTCTCTTGCCTGTATTTTCCCCTTATCCCTGTCTCGTCTCTTTCCTTTGTTGGTGTCGGTTCAAGGTTGGCTTTGCTGGGTGCCCCGAATGGCCTCTCCGAAGCGGAGGCCTTGAGAAGACTGTTGATGGTGACGACGGTAGGAGGGATACGTGTCTCGTCTTTTTTCTTGGCCAGCTCATCTTCCCATCTTTCTTCTTCCTTTCTCCTTGTACCCCTGCCTTGTAGCGCTTGCCCTTCGTAGCAGGCCGCATCGCACTTCCTTCTCATCGTTATTTCTGTTCCGGCTGGTATAGCTGTTCTTCTTTCTTGTGTGTGAGTGTTCGTGCCTGGCCTTTGCTCTGCTTATCAGTGCTTATTTGCATCTAGGTGGCCGAGCCTGTCTTCATGGTTTCTGCGTGTGTTTAGATGAAGCCGGAGGGAGCCGCAGCTTTTAGCAGCTTCTCCTCTGTAGCGACGCAATTGGCAGCGGCTCTCGTGAGTCCTTCGCGAAGTTCTGACTAAAGACAGACTTCAGACTTCAATGAGAATATTGGGAATGGCCTACGGCCCCCTGGAGTGTGTGAGAATGCCAGGACAGATTGCGGGGCTTCACACAAATATGAGTAATTAGCGCGGACGCCAGCGACGGAAGACAACGAGAACGCGGTGCTCTCTGCTTATCTGGCTGCAACAGAATTGAAGGTCCGTGCTGCACTGGCTTTGTTTCGCTTATCAAGAAACGACACGAGGCAGTTGGGTTCCTTTCCCTTCTCCCTTGTGAGTCTTTGCTGCTTCTTCTGTTTGCAAGGAATATACATACAGAACACTGACGATTGCTGGCTGAGTCGAAGGAAACCCCGGTAATACTGGCTTCTTTTCTCCACACTCTGGGGGAACGGCCTCAGTAGTTGCCGGCAAGAGTGTATCTTCATGTTTGGAGCGTATGCATGCGTTTGTGCCTATCTTCCCTCTGCATGCGTATGCAAGGGATGCTGCTTCCCAAATGAAAAAAAAGCTTTTCTTTGGACCGCATGAGCAGAAGTTGACGATCCTCTATGCTGCTCTTTGTGTGTCCTTGAGGGGAGAGGGACGGGGTAGACAAAGCTGTTCGTGCTGCTGCAGCCGGTGCAGACAGCCCAGCTACCTCCTCGAACCTGTTGAACCAGCTTGAGCTCGAGAGCACCCGCCACACGTCGTGAGCTAGTCTAAGCATATACACAACTATAAGCAGAACAGGGTCAGCTACGACAGAAGGAGTGAAGAGACGTCATAAACACAGCGAAGAGTAGGTCGAGTGCATGTTCTGATTGCTCCACTGCATGGAGGAGAGAAACGAGAAACCACACACTCCCAGAGAGCAGAATGCGGGACAAAAGACAAGGTTTGTTGCAGCTCACGGTGACAGCACCAGCTGCTGGTGACGTCGCACCATACAGCGCTGACGAACTTCATGTCCCTGCCAGTAGTTTTTGTCTGAAAAATAAACATTATTATTGGCGGGTAACAGAAATTTGTCAATAATTGAGCCACTCCCTATGGGGGAACTACGTTCGAGCAAGGCATGAAACATACATGCTGCCGATCGTATCAACGGCATCGTAAATGCTACATGCGTAAATATGCGTAGAAGACTGAAATGCTTGCGATCATAATGTTCATGCATGCACGCGGAGAGCTCATTGGATTTACAGTCACTAGCCGATGGAAATCTACCTCAAATGGAAAGCCATTTATCCTTCCAGCGCCGCTTATGAATTAGCGAACTATGCACAAATGTTGACTTGAGAGTGTTACGCTGGGTTAGCTGCGGCACTCCCTAGAGGGGGAAACACTTTCCTTTTGTGCGGGGATCTTCCTAGGCCACCAACTAAAACACCACCAAAAGGACTTGGCCACCCGCTCTGCTGTCATGTTGACCTCACAATGGCCAAAAAGCTGGTTGTGCATTTTTCTGGAAGAGTCTGTGCGAGGTGAAGTTGGTGCATTCTAGGGCCGTAGTCTACTTTCCGTTACAGCCCCGCCTACAGGCACCGTTTCATCTTCTGCGAAAACAGGCAATTCTTGATGCTCCTGCAGCATGTTGCTCGCTCGAGAGTCACTGCTAGCATTCCTGAGATAAGCGGGGCATGCTGCCTAGTTATTCAGCCAGCTTCCAACATGAGTGCCAGGACTGAGGTCCCCAGCAGGCGTCGTTGCAAAATTCACCCTCAGCTGCATGCATTGAGAGTAAAACGTCTTGAGCATAAAGACAAATAACGACAATCTAGCTGCCGCTTTTGCTCCCCTTTGCTTTCAATGATCCATCCATGTGGCAAACCTACCTGCACTGTGAACGGCCAGCCGAGGCCGCGACACATGAGGCTTATTAGCAGAGGACGGCCACAGTATTCTTAACTATTTTGTACGGTAAACCTCACATTGATATCTGGGTGCGCTCACTGGAATAGAATTGTTCAAGTCAATAGCGAATGCGCCTGCTGATCGGCCGCAGCAGTCCAATGGTGCACAAAGCCTGCTGAACCCGACAGAGGCAACCTGAACTATTGTGTAATAGAAAACCTACAGTTTCCCCCGAATAATACATGGAATCTTGTGAATCAATCGGGGGGACCAATTCTCCCTATGCGCCGTCGCACTTTTCAGTGAGCATTCGTTAAGTGGGCGAGTTGAATTTCATCGTCGCAGCTTTCGGCGAGCATGCGCTGAGGTGAGCGAGTTGAATTTCACTGAAAACTGCAACGACGCAGAGGACTATTTCCCCCTCCTGTATGCTTCTACGAGATTCCGTGTGTTTTTGAGGGAGAAACTCGAAGCCTCTTCAGGCAGCCTCTGTCGCGTTCAGCAGGCTCGTGCACCATCGGACTGCTGCTGCGGATCAGCAGGCACTTGCCGTGATCTACTTGAACAATTCTGTTCCAGGGTGCACATCCACAAGTCAAGGTAAGGTTTACCGTAGGAACTTGTTAAGAAAACGGTCGCCGTATTGCGATATCGGCGGCACTGAACAGTGCAGGTAGGTTTGCTCATGGTGGATTTCGACCATTGTGAGCAGAGGGGAACAAAAACAGAAGTCATCTTGACGTTATTTGGCTTCATCTCTAAGAATTTTTTACGTTCAATGCATGCAACCAAGAATGAATTTTGCAACGACGCTCGCTGGGGGCCCCTTCCATGGCACCAATGCTGAAGGCCCGCTGAATGGCGAGGCAGCATGCCCCGCTCTTCTAGGGGAGGCTAACAGTGCCTCTCGGAGGAGCAACGAACTGCAGGGGCAGGAAGAACTGCCTGTCTCGGCAGAAGAGGAAACAGTGCCTATAGGCGAGGCTGTTCCGGAGGGGGAGCATCTGCGGACTCTTCGCGTGTACAGCAAAAGCTCATCGCCTGCACCACAAGCAGCAGCATCCACATCAGCCCCTTCGGAATCGGCTTCAACTGCTGCAGCAGTCTCTGCAATAGAGGGAGGAGAGGAATCAGCCGGGAGCTGTCGAAGCTGCCGCGACGTCCAGGTGCTAAGGGTATTCCGCAACCCCGACGTTATGATAGCCCCGAATCTTATCACAGAAGAGCAGTGTCTTCACTTGCTGAAACTGGCTGATGGGAAGTGGACTCGCAGCAAAACAAGCATCGGGACGACATCAGCACCCCAGGTCCGGGATTCTGTGCTTTTATATCTTGTACGGCTGCTGCTGCTGGGGGCGGTGCTGTTGTTGTTTGAATTCTTACGATAATTTTTCGCAGAACAGTCCATTTAAGTTTGTAAATAGATGCTTTGCAAGTGCAACACTTTGAGAATGGTTTGGCGCTTGTGTGTAGAGGGGAGTAGGAGTATGGCGTCTTTCACTTGGCTCCTTCTTGCAAGTTTCTCCTGGTTTGCTCCTCGCTTGAAGGCGGGGGCAGTAGTGTAGTCGCCACTATGAGTTTTGTATGCTTACTGAATGGTGTAGGTACAGACATGCAGATTGTTTGTGTGACTGCGCGCGCCTTAGACGGCATACAAGACAACTGAAAGCCGGACACGGACGTCGTACTCAGTGATGCTTGAGGAGGCGCAGACACCTGGTGTAATGTCTGTGGAACTGTTGGCTTGTGCCTTAGCTCAGTTGCCTCTGCAGCACCTTGAATCTCTGGTGCTTGTGAGATATGCTGAAGGGGAGTACTTCTCAGAGCACCACGACGGAGGCTTTAGGCCGAAAACAGTTCTCCTATATCTTAACGGTGAGTATGGGTCTTCGCCATTAGTCCTCTTCATGCTCACCAGCCCTTGAAGACGAATGCGGACTGCTGCTTCTTTGCTATGTGTGCTCTGTATGCCGTTTCGTGTGGTCTGCTGCTGCTGACGGCCAAGTGTTTGCCGTTTAGGCTTTAGAAAGTCCCCTTGACATTCGTACCATGCTTCTTCCCCGGCATCCTTTTCCTCACCCTAAGGCATCTACTCCCGATTAGGGTCTTTTTGCCCCTTATGCCAGTGCTGCTAGTGCATGCGGGGCTGAGGGATAGGGGCGTAGGGCTAGATGGATTGACACAATATGCGAGGCATTTGTGGAAGAAGTAAAAGACAACGGCTGCATGAGATTAGGGCTTATTTCTACTCCTTGGAACTGCTTGCTTTTCCCTCCCACGTACCGTTGCACGCGTGCTCGTAGGATTCTTGCTAAAATACAAGTAGATCAGCACGTTATCGTGCATTACTGTAAATATATGGCTAGTCGCTGGCTTGGGGATCTGCATGCTTGGAGGCACTGTGTTCCTTTGTCGGTATTTTCCCTTCAGATGTCGAAGATGGAGGGTACACGCACTTTACGCGCCTGGGCCTGAAGATTGGGCCGTCCCAGGGCAGCGGGGCATTGTGGAGCAACGTGACGCCTGGGGGGAAGATGGATTTTCGCACTTTGCATGCGGGAGTGGCTCCTACCAAAGGCACAAAGTATGTTGTTAACTGTTTCTTCAATGAGGCGGTTGTTCGACCCACAAGGCCTCCGGTTCCTCTGTCCCTTGAGCTTCCACAGGGCATCCAGGTCCCCGAGCTGAAGCCGGCAGGCGAAGTGTCTCCCCCACCAGGCCAAGCTAAAAAGGATACTGCAGAACTTGACTTAGTTAGCGCACACGGACAATCACACCAACAAGTTGAACCTGCGCAGCTACACCAGCCGCAACAGCGGCTACAGCAGCAGAGGGAAGTTGGCAAAATTGGGGAGTCGCAACGTCTGATTTGGGGTTTTTCTGGCATTGGCGCACTTAGAAAGAAGCAGATGGGATGCCCTGCCGTTTTTCCCTCTTTCCCTCAGCAGCTGTGGCGGCAGCACGAGATGGCACAACTAACGATGTACCCACCTATGAGGGGGAGCGGGGGTGGCGCTACGCTCCCTATGCTTCCCTTTGGATTTCCGTCAATAGCCACCGTCTGTTCACCTGGTGGATGTATCACGCATACAACGGGGGGATTGCATCGTGATCAACGGTGGGTGTGACGTCGTACAGGTTGGCTGACTTCCTCCAAAGCGCAGGGCGGAGGGCGCGTTGGAGCGCTGCGAAGAAGCGCGACTTAGTCTGCCGCAGCTGGCGCGGCCGCCGTGAGTTGCAGCATGCCCTGTCTCTTGGCTCGCATTCGGCTGTTTATACGGTGTCTGTGGTATCGGTTTGTGTCTTCTAGAAGCTGCACCGCAGCCATCCAAGCGCGCACTCGACGTATGGTTGGCTGTGTTTCTGACGTCACTTCACTCCTTTCTTCGTCTTGTTTGGCCTTTTACTGTGTAGAGGTTTGCAGTTGTTTAGTCTTGCGCAGTTTCTGCAGCGGACGCTGGAGGCAGCTTGAGCTCGACGGCTCAAGGCTGGTTCCGCGGCGTGTATGTATGGGGTGTCTATACCCGCTTATGGAGCACGCAAAGCTCTGGCAGCTGCAGCCGCAGCGGATGTATACCTCTCTCCTGCCCTCCCCGAAACATGCAGGAAGAGCAACATAGAGACCCGATGTTTGCTTATCTGGTTTAAAGACGTATTTGATTTCAGTTTGAAAACACCCCCCCGTCGCCTACAATGCACATACTAGAGAGAAGCATATAGGCATGCTCACGCTCTTAAGATAAAGGTACTCACACTTGAAAACAAAGACTACGAGCCCCCCCCTTCCCCCTTCCCCCCCATTGTGGAGGGGATATTGTGAGCTGGTGTCTTCAGGGTTTCGCGTGGCCTACAGCCATCACGGTCACCTGTCAGTATGCATATGCGTGTCTACTTTTCAAATAAGAGCAGAAACACATCAAATCAGATGGTGCAGCGACTCCCCAAGTTGGCAATGCTCCTTCTGCTGGTGCTGCTGTTGCTTCTGCTGGTCCAGTTGCGCATATTGGATGCGTAAAGGGAATAGTTTGACAGAGGCATGCTTTGCAGTATCCTTTTCAGTGTGGGCAGCTGCGGAAGTGGCTTCGCCTTTCTGCTGTTGTTCATTTTTTCGGATGCCTTGCATGTATATAGTATATATATATATAGTACATGCTCCAGAGAGAGGGTGTACGCATACACGGCTAGCTCATATCAACACGTACATGCGTGTGGGTATGTGCTACATACCCACACGTATGTACGTGTTGATCTAGTTTTGTTTCGATATGCAAGTGCATATGTGCACAGTTGCAGCGAAATGTGACAGAAAGAGGCGCGCAGGTGCAGAGAGGCACACGACACACTAACCGCATTCAAGAGTTGTCCCTTATTTTCCCCACCGGCGCCTCAACAAGGGTAGATTTCTCTAGGCGTACGCCCAGACGCACCAGTGCCGCATACACTCAGACCAAAGGCAGTGGGAAAAGGAACTCTTGGGTCGAGGAGGCTATTCAGAGGGCGTCAGAGCCTTTAGGCAGGACGGGGACGCCAGGAGAAGAAGCAAAAGACAAATGGCGGGGGAACCCCAACCCGTCGAATTCTTAGCCATAATCCGTATACACTCAACCAACAAGATAGCAGTAGACCGCACGAGATGGTGTGGGGCTCACAGCCCCAGTTTTGGCTAGGTACTATGGTAAAACTTAACTCGACATCGATATGCTCCTGGGGAGACAATGGCTCATTTCGACTACCACAGAAAGCGCTGATCGGTGGCAGTTCTCCGACGCTTCACGACACTTCTGGACGCGGAAAGGTCACCCGTATCTTTCGTTTAGTCGAAAACTTAAGGTTTTTTCGAGTGATGTACGGGACCTTGTAGAAACATCTAGGTGGAAAGCCGCGCCCGCCATGCTGCCAGATCCTACAGTGGAATTCAGATCGCCCATTTAGGTGGTGATAAGCAAGATGTTGCCAGCTAGCTCATGAGTTGCCGTGGTTGTGTCTTCATCAAGAATGTTGCTCCTTGACAAGGTCGAGCATCAGCAGGAAAAATTTGCTTCAGAGCACGGCAGCCAGGAACTTGCTGGCCTTAGGACTGCTTTGGTAACGCCTTCTGTCTGAAATTGTGAAGTGTACTTCTACTTGCGTGCAGGCATCCTAGTAGGGGTACAGTACGCGTTCACCGTGTGGGTTTACCGCATCTAACCATGCGATGGTGTGTGTTGTAGGCGGGCATTTGGTGCTTTTTCGGTCGTTCGGTGGCTCACAGAGCATCGCACCAACCACTGTGTTACTGGCATCAGTTGTAAGGAAGAAGGGCCTCTCGAAATGAGGGAGCGCGAGAGCATCAAACGATGACAGGTGCCTAATGACGCCCATGCGAGGTTCCTCGTCGCTCGCCTTCAAACAGCGTTGTTTGCCCTTCCTTAATAGATCCTCTAGAGGGGCTTCGGCGCCAGCGAAACCAGGGAAGAAGTTGCGGTAGTACGGTGGGAGAGCGAGTAACTTTTAAACGTCCGTACATATGCACAGGGATAGTGGCCACTTCCGAATAGTCCCCATTTTCGCGGGAGCTGGTTCGAAACCAGCAGCATAAACATGAAATCGAGAGAGCCTAAGTTTCTGCATGAAAAATGAACGAGATTGTGTATTCGGGAATCCCTACTTCTCACGCAGCTGCTGCAGAGCACGCCACAGGTACTTCAAAGAGTTGCTGCATATTCATGCTGAAGACATGTTTTCCATGTATATAACCGTCCATCCCTGATTGAATGTCTCCAAGAATTGGTGGATTCCATGGAGCTGCAGTTCTGCCGGTGCACCAGTGCAAACAAGTCCACTCTATTTTGCGAGTGCGGGGATGGAACACAGTCTTGCGCCTGTCGTCAGGATGTACTGGGATCTACGAAAGCGAATCAGTAAGCTAACGCGTGGGCAATCAAGCAGTGTAGCTATCCTAGAAAACGGAAACTTTTGCTTTACCTTGACTTTGTTGAAGGGTTTGAAGTGACGCGCATGCGCCTCCTCCGGTCCTTTGTCCTTTTCCTTCGCCAGCATCGGTTTCTGCCAAGTGTAATAGTTGACGGTTGCACTTTGTTTCTTCGTATCAGATTTCTTGCTGCTTGCTTCTCGATTCCCTCTTCGAAATATGAGATCGCCTTTACCTTGGATCGCAGCTTGGAGCTGCTCCGGGAAGGATTTCGATGCGGCGCACTGGGTGTGCAGCTGGTAGCCGTCCCGCCCTGTAGCTCTTCGTCGCACAAACCATCGGAGAAATCTTCTTTAATTGCAATCAATTCTGCTGTTTCCGGGATGTTAACTGGATCGAACCCCCCTAAACTGTGGTCTACGTAAGACCACCACGATGGAGTGCATGAGTTTTCCCGTCGTTTCCTGCTCCGCTTTTGCACTGCAGACGAGCCCCCGTTCTCTTGCGCAGTGCATACCAGTGTCTCCTTGGTCACTGCTTCCAGTCCTGTCACAGAAGAGGTAGCAAATGCAGTTAGGAGCGCCGGGAGGTGCATTCTATCTGTGCTTCCAGGGAGATACACCTAAACAGTTTCGTCTGGGAGCCGTATCTGAGCGTCCCAGTGGGTCACACACGGCAAATCTCGGATAATGGCGTGGTGAAATGGCCAGACATAGAAATCCCGTGTCACTGCAGTAAGGCCCATTTCTGAGTCAAGTTCCCACTGGCACCGATAGATTTGCCGATTCTTGTTTTCTGCCTGTTGTGGGCAAAAGGTAGTTGCAACGATAGCGCGATCGAGTAGCCAGGCGGGTTCCACCGCCCCACCGTAGCTTCAGTTAACACACGCACTGCCCAGCCTGTATCAAGGTATGCTGGCGCTAGCAAACCCTGTTCATGAGACTGAACTTGCAGAAGCAACGGTTTTATCCAGAATGGACGGATCTGCATGCATGGCTGTTGACTCCTTCCGCCCCATCAAGCCTTCCCACGATTCGGGGAGGCAACCGTGCTGCTCTGGTCGTTTCGTTTGTTCCCCTGCTGGCGCTCCTCGATGTCATGCGTAACGAGTCTCTTAACATTGTTCATGCGTCTGCAGTTGGCGGGTTATGCGGCCTTGCTGCAAAAGAAACAGGCGCCCCGCTCGGTACGTTGACCAGCGCCTGAGTGCCGAATTCCCAGGCAGCTGTCGGTTGCCTCTTCCTATCTTCTTCTGGGTGGTGCTGGCACTCACAGCCTTAACATCTGTAGGCTTCATCTCTGGATCGTTCCCAAAGGCACTTTCTTCCTTTCCAGTTGGGGCGACAGAAGTGGCGTATTTTCCTCTCTTTGATGCGTCAGTACTACATCACCTCGGCGAGTGCAACCATTTCACCTTTTCATTCCCTTTCACATTGCCGATTTCCTCTCTCTGGGGGAGAACCCTACAGTGAACCAGTGATAGAGGAGCTCCGAGTCCACTATTGGCCTTCTATTCACCGAGGACTAACGATTCTCGCTGTAGGGCCGTATCAATAGCTCTCCTTGGTTTATCTGTTCTCAGCTCTGCACTAGTTTGGTCCGCTGCCGATCTGGGAATAAGCTTACATCGCAGTGCATGCTAGAAGGCCTCTACATCCCGGAAGCTCTCTGGCAGAAATGTACACTTGCTGCGATGTAGGTAACAGCCGTCTCGCCTCTTCTACTGCGGAAGAATCCACTAGCCGCTGTAGCCCGTTGGTAGCATTTTGGAGACAGAATTTTAACTCGGGCGGAGCAACGAACTCCTTCGGTGCCCGAATATCGCGGCGTCCGTCATATCTGTAGCGTCGGCGAAGGCAGCGGCGCATTTCATGAATTGTCTTCGCAGTAAAGATATTTCCCGATGGATGGGATCCACATACTGACCTGGTATCAGCACAACGGTCGCCTCCCTACGAGAGGCACGCCCTGGTACGCTTAACTGCGCGCCAGCTTCAGTCAGATCATGCTACAATGCACGCATCAAAGCATACACTTATTTCCTGCAATTTCTGCTACAACACATGCCTGAGTAGTGCTCCAAAAACGCTAAGTATTCCCTAGAGTGCTATGATGCAAGTCTGAGGAGAATGCCGACAGATCTTCAGAATTAAGCGGTGCTTTGCTCCACCTACGTCGCAGTGGACTAGGTTATGAAATATTGAGACCAACATAATTCCGACGAAAACAGTGGATCTGGTTTGTTCAATGCCAGGATTTCAAGCGCTCATGCTCTTCATCTCAGAAACAGCAGCCCTGTTACCCTGCAGTCGAGGAATCGCCAGCACGTAGAGAACTTCTCACTACCAAACAGTTGCAAGCTGTAGCGTTTTGAAACAAATTCTTCCCATCGAAATTCGACCTTGCGAGAGGAAAACATTTTCAACGGAGGCACAACGATAGCTCCAAACTCGCTCGGTGCATCCGCCTTGACCACTTGGAATTGACGCCCGCTGGGCTCTTTACTACGAGCGGCCTCCGAATAATCCTGGGGCTCCACAACTACTTTCTCGCCCTCTTTCGAGTCATCATGCTCGCTGGAAAGAGAGAAATAAAATCCCTAACAGTTCTCGGAGTTGCTCGGATTGCTACACCCCAGTGGAGTCCACGAGCTAACATGGATAGCCACTTGCCCGCAACGTCTCCGCTTGGGTCGGTGAAGAAAGCCTCCTGAACACCTGTGTCTCTTTCGTGGTCTTGATGAAACGAGCGGTTGGTACACCGGCAGGGCCTTTACCCCCGGCTGCCTCTGAGCTCTCCAACACTCGTGACCACCGTGGCGCAAGGTATTTATGATAGGGGTTCTGAGCCGGCTTAACCTCCAACCCTAGCCAGAAGTCTGAGATCACGCGTCACATTTGTAACGTTTAGAACTCCGTGGCATTGAGAAGCTGCAACCTGTTGGGTCGTGGCGGCCATCGCAAAGGCGGTGCTCACGAGAGAGATGACGCCAAATGTGAGGCTGGGGGGAGGGGGGGCTATTTGCTCTATCCGCTTTCTACCCCGCTGATAAGCAGGGTAAAGGCTATGCAGTAATTCTTTGGACAGCCGACCATGCAGGGGCAAAGAGGCTTCATCTAGCAGGTCCTGATGACCAGGTATATATTCCCAAATCTCCTATTCGGTTCCGTAGTCGTCCTGCTTTGGTCCTCCAGCCCTTTGGTTGGCGGCAATGTGCGACAGTGCTAGGAGGAATGTTATCCACGAACCATCGGCTTACAGCACAGCACTTGAGACCTCCAGGGGAGATAGGTGGGGTGTTTATTCGGGGAAGAACAACAGAGTGTCCCTCTCAGCACTCCAAACGGCAGTTGCATCCTCTCCTGCGACAGGAAGGGAATCAATCCTACGGAGAAAGGAAGCAGTAGGCTCCTATTGAATGCAGATGCCCCGCATGAAACGACGGCGAAATGCATTCAGTCCGTCGTGCTGGTCGTACGAAGGCTGCGTTTTGGGGGGAATCGATCCAGTTAACACCGCAGGTACAGCAAGTAGGCACGACTATGAGGAAGAGTTCTCAGTCGTATGGAGAGAACTGCCACTAGAATTTTAAACAAAAACTGCCCCTTCTGTAAGTACATGCTCCAAATAATGTATGCAATTACCACAAGGAATATTTCTAATAGGTAAAATATTACCTAATTTTAATTGCATGCTTCCTCCTAAATAAGTAATGTATCCTTCTCGTGTATCTCTGGTAATAGGGAGATATTTATTTTGAAATTTTAAAAATCTACTTAGACGTAGTAGTCTATCTCTGACTGCAAGCAAACGTGCCTTAGAAATAGCATCTAGCAAATCCTACAGCAAATCACCCATTCAATTACCATTAAGGGCATTTCATACTGGAGGAACTTTTAGTTTAAGCTTATCTTTAAATTAAAAGGCACACTTCTAAAAAATACGAAATGGTTGAATTAGCATATTTGCAGTTAATCAAAGCTTTCTGAATAGGAGCTTACCTAATTGAAGGGTAACAAAGCGAAGGGGGCGGAGAACCAGCCAGCTTGTTGCCCCAGCAGCAACAAGACCTTCACCAATAGGAGGCGTTTGTCACAGCTCCTACGGAGGAGTGCAAATAACCCTTTTGCACCGCTGCGGGCAGAAATTATCAATGAACCGCAGAATGTGCCAACGTCCTCGACCTCCAACACCTCCACGAGAGGATGAGAAGAGCGCATTGAAGGACATGGAAGGCACAGCGTCGTGCAGGGAACGGCACCGAAACGAAAGAAGCTATACAAGCAATGGCCATCGGGCTAGTAACCCACTGGATGAACAATGCAAATCTACACACACAGGAAATGCCATTGCATGCGCTTGTTTGGGTGCCCTCTCTAGCACTATCCGACGCCTCGCCATCTCTAAATGATAGATGCTGACGTGCTATCGGTTGAAGGTAATGCCGTTTTCGGCGCGGACAGGAGTTTGGCGCTGCATAACAACATTTCTTTACACCTATACCCCTGCTGAGTGTACGCAAGTTCAGTATGCCTAAAATACCTCCTCGCTCTGCTGTGGTGAAAGGCTGTCCACAGCAGAGCGAGGAGGTATTTCAGCTGGCACTAGTGATCGATTCCATGTATACCTATTTGAAGCACACCCGATACACACGATACACTCAGCGCAGAATCCTTAACTAATAATAGCCTTAGAATGCAAAGGGATAGACTTACACCTGCATCGCTGATCCATTTATCCTAAAGGAGGAAGACTAGTAATAATAATTCTCATGCTAGCTCCCTACAGGTCAACGCCTTCACTCGCAGCCAGCCCCGGATCGTGGGTAGCAACAGAGAGCTCTTGGCCTTGCAACTTTATCTCCTATCTAATGCGGCTTGATTCATTTCTGATATTATTCATGCCTTCTCGGCCGGATAGAACTCTAGAGGTCCAGTCCGGGCACCATTGTAGTGCGTACCCACTACACAAAGGGCTGGTGGTTTAAGGCCTCCGAAAGGATGAGACCCCTCATACTTTTCCCCTCTCTAGGTTTGGTTTGTAAAATTTAATTTTAATCTGTATTTAGCCGAATAAGACCAAAGAAAGATACAATGACTGAGGAAGGGACGGAGAAGTTGGGCGTGCATGCGGAGTGAAGTGTCTGTCCACAGTTCTTCACATTTCTCTCATTTTCCGCGTCTTTTTTGCCCGCCTTTGCTTCTTTATCCTGTGAGCCACTACTTCGCTGCAGTGTGCGCCTCCGCCCTGCTGACTCGTGCAGCTCGCAGCAGCAGAGCCAAACGTTGGTGTTCACATCTACAGCCGCAGCATGGGTAACTGGCGCCACGCTGGGGTTTGCATTCGCCCGCCTTGAGCTGTAACTAGCAGCAGTATCAGGGTAGGCAGTAACACCGGCAGCGGCAGGAGCGCCCTGAGCGCCAGCAGTAAACAGTAGCAACCGGCCTTTCTGTTTGGGATGTGCGGGGTGCATTCACAGCACAAGACACCCTTGTGTTTAATGCCGTTCTCTCATTGATCACCTATTTTTAATGCCTTTCCTCTTTTGGTATTTGCTTTGCTTGCTGCTTCACTTATCCACCATCTTCGCGTTCCGCTCGACGTCTCCACTGCTGCTGCTGCCGCTGCAGCAGCGCAGTCACTCCTCTTTTGGAACCCCGCAACCGAACATAAGATCACCAGCAACAGCAGCAGAAACTGGTGCACGGACGTCGAGAACAACAGGAGGAGCAGCAGAAGGGATAAGAGAGGTGGACAATGCAGTCACATCACCACCACCACCACAACCGCCAGCAGCCACCGCAACGCCAGCGGCCATTGCAACACCCGCCACCGCAGGAGCAGCAGCAGCAGCAGGATCTGGAAGCCCTTGTGCTGATATTGGTATGCGGGAGGGTTTGGGGGCTTCGTCACCTTTGTCTGTTTTGCTGCAGCTGTATCCACGGAGCTGCTATTCGAAGACCGGCACAGAGCGCATGCAACCAGTTGCTGCTGCAGAATCTTCGCAGCAGCAGACTCCTAACGAAGCACAAGCTTCACGGTCGCATGCTTCTGATGTCGAAGCAGGAGCTTGCGAGGTGTCGATACACTCCACCGCAGTCCGCTGGCTGTCGGTTGGTCGTGTAGGCGGCGCACACGGGCTCCGAGGGCATTTAGAAATATTTCCTTCGACTTCTTTTGAAGAAAAACGCTTCTGCTGCCCTTGTAAGGATGTGGCACTGTTGCTTCTGCTCTTTCTGGTCGCTTTTCCCTTTCTCGGACCCACTCTTCGCCGGCTTCAGTCTTCCATTTGCCATTCTTTGCCGCATCTGTTGTCTCCTTTCTGTATGTTCCGCCTGCATCGACTATCTTTGCCCCTCTCGTTCCTCCTGTAGCGGTCTGTAGCTTATTCAGTTGCTTGATTCTGTTGTTTGGCGTGTTCATTTGTGTGCGTTTATATCCCCATGCCTTATGTTGCCTCCTATTACTGTCTTTGGTCTTTTTTTCTCACCTGTTCTCGTACTTTGTTCTTTTGTCTTCTTTTGACAGTCGTTGACTTGCATTGCCTCGTGGGTTTGTGGTTTCGTGGTGTTTGATGGCATATGGAGCGTGCGCGTTGGGACGTGTTTGTGTTCTGGGGTTTACGCACACCGCAGCTTCTCGTTTGTTTTTCGGGGGCGGAGGAGTTAGTGCTTTGTTTGTGTCGAGGCGAGTGGAAAGCGGCCGCATTCTTCAGAGGCATCGAGGCAAACAAGTAGCGCTGGTGAAGCTGCAAGGAATAAATGACAGGTACTCAAGTGATTCGTTTCGCAGACGAAACGCCCGAGGAAACGACAGAGAAAGAATAAATAACAACAGCCGACGATGATACAGAAGAGCATATGATACATAATAGAGGATTTTTCGACAATGTACAAGTACCGGCAGTCTTTCCCGGTGTTTCTCTCCTGCGGTTTGCCTCCTGCTGCCTTCCTTTATTCTTTCCTGCCCGGTATTTGTCTCTTGGCTCGTGCTGCTGCTGCCGTTTTTTGCTGCATTCAGAGCTGCGGCGGCTGCTTTGTCGGGGTTCCGAGTGTACGTACATCCCATGCAGAGTGCCTCCTTGCTCCCCCCACACACCGTTTTGGCTGCAGACTTGGTCGGATTTGATGTCCAGCTCGCCAACAACCCAAATAAAGAAATCGTCAGTCCTCGTCGTTCTGTCCCCCTCTGTTTCCTTATCGCCTTCTGCCTCCGCGAACACGGGGCTATGCACTTCTGGGCCCGCTAGCCCTGCTCGTTTGTTTGTCATTTTTGTATTTGTTTGCCATTTGTTCGCTTACTTTTCATTTTTTGTTCGTCTCTTTTGTTGGAGGTTTTATCTTTGTGTCCCTTGGCGCCTGCCTTGCGGCCTCCCCTTGCCTCGGCGTATATCTGTCTAGTTCTTGCTGCGTCTTTATGCTTTTGTTAACGTCTGCCTTTTCTGTCTTTCGCCGCTGTGTTTGAGTGGGCCCGTTTGCATTTTGCTTCAGCACAACAGATACGCGAAAGGTGGGAGACCGAGCGTTGAAATACACTATCAAATTCTTCATTTGCGCTTTGCTTCTTTGTTTGGCGCTTAGATCGGGAAAGTCGTGGACGTTGTTTCCAAATATGACATGAGACTCAAGCCGGTGAGGGGAAAATATTATCTACCTTGTTTGTATCTGCCTGGCCATGCCTCTTCTGTGTCCCCTCTGTGTCTCGCTCTTCTGGCGCCATCCAAATTCCCTCTGGCGGCATCTTTGTCTGTGCCTGCTTTCCTTTGTAGCATTATTAAAGATATTGTGAGTTATGTCAATACGTTGTCCGTATTTGAACTTGTGTTGGTTTTGCTTGTCATTTTCACTGTATTTGTCTCTCCGCGTGCGTTTGTCTCCGTCCTTGCATTTTCTCCTCACTATATTTGTGTTACTCTTCATTGTACTTGCGTATACCTTCATTGTGCTTGCCTCTCTGCTTGTCTGTAGGAGGCGGTGGGCGCTGCGGACGACTGTCTGGAGATTGCGTTGTACACAGACATTCCAGCGCGCCGTTTGCTACTGGAAGCGTACAGAGACCCTGCAGCGCCATCCTCTGCTTTACTCGCTTCAGCTCTGCATGCGTTGGGTCCCGACCAGCCCCAATGCATGCACCAGGATGAGGAGGAGCCCCTGGTGTTGTTTGAGTGCGAAGGCTGCGGTCTTCGCTTCAGAGACTGCGCGGCAGCAGTGACCCATGAACGACTTTGCCTTCGAGCTGCTCGTCCACCCAACAAATTCCCTGCCCAGTGCGGTAGTGGGCCAACACCAAATACAAAAGAAGACGAGCAAGATGCTCTCCAGTGGCTGCTGCAAACTGCTGCTGCAGCCTGTGACCTGCCTACCCAGCAGCACCAGCAAGAACAGCAGGAGGGGAAAGCGCAGAGAAAAAGCAACCAAGTCCTGTGGGCAGAAGACGGTTGTCAAATGCCTCCCTCGAATGTTCCACAGGAGCTGTTGAGCTTGGAGGGACCTCAAGGACGCTCGGGCCGTCGGTTGGGTCGTCAGTTCTATCAGCGACTATCCCTCGGAAATTTAGTTTCTTGGGATCGGGGCCTTCGCTTCTTTCCTAGGCGAGGAGAGGCTGCCGCGGAGGCAGCAGAGAGGGCCTTGAACTTCGCATGCAGCAGCCGCAGCTGCGGGGAGACATCAAGTTATTCAGAAGCGGACTGGAATGATGCCCGAGACGTCATTAGCCTCTCTGCACGCTTAGGATTGGCCTCGGACATCAACCCCGCCGCATGCGAGCCCGACAGAAAGCCCCAAACTAGCACGTGAGGCCACACAGCTGTGTGAGTAGCAGCTCTTAGCGGAGACCAATATATCCCTGAAGGGCTGGGACACCGCGTCTCCTCACGAACTAAGGCACACGCACCCACACCTTTTTTAATACTCCAAATTAGATGTCTGTCTCTCCTGCTGTTGCTGCTGTGCTCTATGCTATTTGCTTCGGGCAGGTTTCTGCTACCATATGTTTTGGGTGTAACTGTGGAAGAAGTCAAGAGAGAGGCAAAGACTGTCGCTATTAATGCTCCGCCCGGTCTTCTTCACTGACATTACGGCCGTTCAGTCACACAGACCCCGCACCGTCCACGCCCAGATAACACCAAATCCACCTTAGGAGATCTAACAACGAAGCGCCAGCCAGGCGGTCAGCAGCAGCTTAGCGACACTACATGATGATGCAATTATTATTTCCTTTTTACTTTTGCCAAGTCTGTATGGTGGATGCGGCAACTATTTCTTACGTTAATAGCGTATCACTATATCTAGCACAGTTCTGTAATCCATGTTAGACTTAGAGATGTATGACTATTATTTGTAACCTTCCCGGTTACAACATATTATACAGCAGCCGCTACTGCTGCAGTGGCTGGCGCTGAGATACGGCGGGCGCCCTTCTGGGGTGCAGCGTCTCGAGCAGATTTGTGAGGCGTGGCACATAAGAAATGGTCCTCGCGTGCATGCATGAAGAACTATGCTCTTATGTATCTGCGTTTTTATCCGTTGATCAAGTGTTTACAGGGGCATTTGCCGTCCTATAAGTTTTTGGGGGTTGTATTATGGACTGACCGACGAACGAAATAGAACCCCTATTTCTCTTGTTCTCCTGGAAGCGGCCAGAGAAGTATTTCTTCAGTGTTACTGTTTGCCGTGTGGACACGCTTAACAATCTCCTTTTGTTCTGCGGCAGACGACCTCCTGTAATCAGGAGAGGACATCAGGAACTGATGGCAGAAAATACCCATATATGGCGGGAGTGTACTACGCGACAGCAGAATGCTGTAGATGATTGCTGCAGACGGAGAACGAGGGAATAAGGATACTGCCTAACTGTGTAGCGCATGCATCCAGAAGAAAGACTCTATACAACGCAGCCAGAAAGATGGCAGTTGGTCGCCGCTAGGCCCTTCCACTGCTCTCCCATGAGTAGTTGGAGGTGCCTGGACAGTTCGCTGACTAGCCAGGTGGCTAGCTGGCTAGCCAGCTGGAGAACTAGGCAGCTACCCAATTAGCGAGCTAGTCAGCATTCGAGCTTTCTATCTAGCGAGCAACCCACCTACTACGCTATCCAGCTAGGTCGCTAGCTCGCTGGCGAGCCATACGCTTGTCTTTGTTGGCCACACGCCTAGCCTGCCGACTTGGCAGCCTTTGCTCGGGTGGTGGGCGGCCGCGTTGTCGCCTCCTCCTCCTTCTGGAGGATGATGAGGACCGCAAGAAGGGCGACTCCCAGGAAAAGGGCGCGGCAGCCCCACTCTTCTTGGTGACAGTCGCCTCCGACAGCAGCAGCGCCACATCGATAGCAGCTCCCAATGCCCGTCGCACAGCAGCACCTTTCCCACGGACCACCTGCTGGTATCCAGCAGAGCCTTCAACCCTTGTCTCTTGGCCCGCGCCCTCCTCTGCCTCCCCACACAGCCAACGCGCCGACGTCGGGCGCGCGCTGCTGCTGCTTCTACAGCTGCTGCTGTTGCTGCACTTGGTAGCGTTTCTTTGTTCTTTTGACCGGCCGCCATCCCACAGCAAGAGGCGCTGCAGGCGCTCCTCTTCTGCCTGGACAAACCACGGAGCTGCCGGCACTGCAGCAGAAGCATCACAAGGCGCTGCCCGATGGTGAGTTACTGCCGTCGGTGAGGGCGGCGCATCAGTCTGTCCTCCAGAACCGGTGCTAGAGGCAAACAAAAAAGAGCGAATAGACTCTAGGAGCTCCCTGTTGCGCGCGCTACGTTCTGCAGCCACCACTGCAACTGCCTCCCTCGGCAGCAAAACCCCCGCAACAATCGGCTCCACGACCCTTTTGGGGCTCGCCCAGTTCACGCGGCGGCTCTGTTGCGCCCAGCTCTCCTTCCTTCCTCGCCAGGGCTGAAGGCCACCCCCACTGCTCCACCAAGGAAGGGGGGATGCCGCCAGAGCTGCTGCAGGAGGAGGCAGAGAGAACCCCTCGGAAGCAGCAGCGGCCACACACTCTGGAGGCGCTACTGCAATCACCGCGTCCACCAACAGCTCCCGCAACTGCTCATGAAGATGGCCCAAAGACGAGGCAGACATAGTTGACAGCACTTTAGGCGGGGGAACTGACTGAAGTGCAGCGCGCACAGACGCTATGCAATCTTTGAAGGAGTCTTCCCCCGCTTCGCTCAGCCCACCTACATTTGACACGGCCTCAAATGCAGCATCGCAAGCGGCCACCTGAACAGGTGCCTGAGCAGGAGCTTGCTGCAAAGCGTGATCCTTGGTCTCAAAAGCATGTGCCTCTCCTTCAAATATCTCCCGGCTTTGCGTCTGCAGCACGTTTCGCACTTCCTTTGCCCGCCTCCTGCACTCTCTGTGCCGATAATACATCCACTTGTGCATAAGCTGGTCCCGGTGGTTCCTCCTTGCAGCGAAAAAATTGCGCTTTGAGGGCAAATTCGAAAACTGCCAGCCTTCGTCTCTCCGGTGTCTACGCAGGCGGCGACGATACAGCAAAGAAGGCCTCAAAGAAACAAACTGCGGGCCGGGGAAGCCAGGAATGAGTCGCGTGCCGCGAGGCTTGTGTTGCATTGGTGCGGTGATGCGAGATCTCCCCATGGGAATTAACGGTAATTGAGCGTCTTTTTCATCTTCAGTGTCAGTGTCTGCGTGGCTGTTTTGTTGTAAGTCTTCAGCTGCTCCCTCTGAGGTGCCAAGTGGGTCTACGCATGCTGCGAACACAGGAGGCAGCGGTCGAGTTCGAAGCTGCCATGAGCACGTTATCGGGGAAGTAGAGGAATGCAGGGAAAATGCAGAAGTCATAGAACTTGCAACCTTAAGAGAATAAAGAAAAAATATTGCCAAAGTCAGAAACGTGCCCTTCTCCCTACAGTCACCTCCGAAACCCGTGCATAATTGCAGCCGCATCTGGAACAAGGTTGGCAGCCATAGGCCCGTTCCACCCATATTTGCCTAGCGGCAGATGCATGCCATCATGATCGGAACAGCCACCTTCTCATTTTAGAAAGTAGCGGCTACTCTATCGACGCAGCCGATTACAGGACTGGAATATGAGGGGGAAGAAAAGCTGGAGGCGGCGTTGTTAACTGGTCGGACCTCTTCTGAAGGGTAGGGTCATGGTTTCTTTTGCAATCATGGCAAAATACTCAAGGGTCGAAGGGAAAAAAGTGACTGTCGGAAGTTACTGGAACCTTGCGTACACCCCCCGCCCAGGGACAGTGTAGAAATGGAAGGAAAACACGAGTCAAGATGGCTTATAGCTGGAAGTCTGGGACGTTTTCCATACATAATAATATTCATTTCATGTTTTTCTTCATTGTTGCGCATGCACCGGTCTCCGATGCAAGGGCTGCGGCCGCGCGCCGCGCAGGGCCCTCTGTCAAGCTGGTTTTCGCTGCTTTCAGCTCCTGGTTGGCGATAGAAGCTAACTGTACCATTTTTGTATGGAGCTTTGTGAACCACTTTCATTCGTACTGACATTTCTACGGATTGGACACATTTTGGGTAGCTTGGCCTCCAGCTGGCTGTGGTCGCTGCCTTGTGGCGCCCCTGATCGCGGACAACCTAAAACCAAACTCCGCCGCGTTTTTTTGCCTTTGCTGCCGTATATTGAAGAACTTCAAGCAGTTCCGGCCTCTTGATATCTTATGTAACCCACAAAACCCGTCCGTTGATCTCAGTCGTAGGCGGCTGTGGTTCCATTATCGCCAACGGGAAACTCACACACTTCATCCCAATAACTCGAATCCAAGAATTTGTGAATTGTGCAGCCTTGACTTGAAGTGTTTGTACAGCAGCGGATTTGTTGTCTGGGGGCCGACTATTTCTCATTGTGCGGCAGTAGTTGCATGCGTCGTGTACAGGGAGCCTCATGTACATTAGAGTGCGATGTGTTGACAGCTGGCAGCCTTGCTAATGAAAATCGCCACAATGCTGCTGGTTACCTAGTGCGCATGGAAACTTGGGGACGAAGGTTTGGCAATACGTCTTCTTCAGCGCAATCTGTCGTGCCGGCTCTCTCCGGTGGAGCTGTTTTTCGGGCGCCCCATGGCATTCCTGCAAGTGCCTCTATCGCAGTTTTCACTTGGATTTGATCACCAGTTGGCATATTCTTCAAGTCTGCAGGCGAAACGAACTGAGGCGTTTTGTGCCTTGCATACTAAGCCTTTTTGAAGCAAACCGCTCTAGGGCGAGACAACGCATAATCGCACATTCGCGAGGTGGACGGACGCGGCCGGCAAACGCCTTGCCTGCAGCGCACAAAAGGAAATGGGGGCTTTCAACAGCTGCCTCTCAAACACGCTTCGATTGTGCTGCACGAAGAAGGTTCACCAGATCCGCGTCGCCGGTCCAGCTCAAGCAGGGAAAACGTCCATCATAAAATGGATGAAGTATAAGAGCTTCTTCAAGCTGGCTCCCACAGAAGGTACTTCGCTACTGTTTACTCCCTAATACTTTCGTGAACAGCAACTGTCATACAGAGCACTGGGCAGTTCTTTCGCCGTGCTTGTGCGAGTCATCTGCAGCGAAAAACCGATTGTTACTGGGATATGATAATCTGTCTGAGTACATTAATACGTCATGCTGATTTATTTAGCCACTTGTTCTGTTGCGATGCAGGACTGGAAGTAGACCGGATCGACTACCCAGATACTGCACTCGTTATGTGGGACACCAGACAGCATTTTGAAGACATGGTTCGTACTTCAGCTGTTTTCCGTTTCCCGTTGCAACTCAGAACTTTATGGAGGAATAAGAACGCAGAAGGACATGGCTGGCCTTTTAGAGCATCTGAAAATTATGCGAATTCCATATCAGAACAGCTTCATGCCAAGCGTATTTTGATTCATCGGTGCGTTTGCTGAAACGGTCAAGAAACTGCTTTTGTGGCCTCTTCTTTTCTCGAACTTCAGGTGCGACCACATCAGCTGGACATTCGCTGCATCATTTTCGTGGTGGACAGTGCAGATCCAGGCCGTCTTCGAGTTGGTAAGCCGATCCGTTTGCGCCTCGCAGCTCAGAACTCGTAGGTATACGCGTGAATGGGCAGTGGATACGCTTGCTTGCAGTGTTGAGCATTTCTCTCTTTTGAGGAGCTTTTGTCCTGCACAGCCAACCGCTCACTTGACCGCTTGCTGCGGGACTTGCCCAACGCAAATATTCTTCTCGTCTTCGCGACAAAGCAGGACAGGCCGGGTGCTCTATCGGTAGCGGAAATACAACATCAGTTACGGTTGCATCAGCTTGTGGACAAGGAATGGTGCGTCTCTCCCCCCTCCCCAAAACGCGAAACCCTACACGTAAAATATTATTTTCCTTCTGCACGAATACGTCTTTCATGTTCGCTCTGTTCTTCTCTTTCCTTACCTGCGTTCAGCGGAGTTTTTGCCTGCAGCGCCAAGACTGGCGAAGGCATAGAGGAGGGAATTTCATGGCTTATTAGGCAGCTGAAGCAGCAAGACGGTGCACCTTGTGCATGCGACGCCGATCAGTCAATTCCGTGCTTCTTGCAGCAACTGTCAGTTTGAGTTGAGCTCGCCCAACATTCCAAGGGGGGAATCGAGGAAGCAGGTAGCAGCTGAAGTACCGAAGGAGCGAAGACAGCGCTTTTCTCATCATTTCTTGGCCCAGGAGACATTCTTTCCGCTGTCTGCAAGCTTCCTGCAACTACGCAACGCGGCAAAGGCATCCCGTGTCGTTAGGTTTCTTTATTGTGAATGTGCGCACTGCAGTTTGCAGGCTTTGTCCAACGCTCATTTGGTGCCAGACCACATCTGGGCGACCATTTTCAGGAGCATCAGCCAGCAGCAGCTGCAAGAGTAAAATCAGTGGCTGCTGCGCCTAGAACTGCTTAGTCGTGCAGCTCTTTAAGCGGCTGCAGGCGAAACGCTGTTAGCTAGTAATGCTGAGCCTCTGCAATGTCCTGACGCGAGAGTTGTGGTGCTGCAGTTGAATTTATGCAGCCCACTGCACACGCACTCAAGCGCATGTATCTGCTCCTGCTTGTGTTTGGAGGGCGTCCTCTGCCTGCTTCCGTCTGGCTGCGGGGCAGCTTGTTGTTTACAGTTTATCACTAGCGGATATATCTTCCGTCCCTTGGCTTTTCTCCATCGTTGCACGTTTGGCATCCAGCCCGCAGTTCTTTGCTGCTGTATTTTACAACACCACCCACGGGGTACAACATTTGAGAAGAGGGAAGATGAACCAATGGTTGAGAGCGGTATCACCTCAACTTCTATAACACGACTACCTCTCAATGTTACTAGTGGTACTCGGCACAACTACTACTAGCGTACTTTCTCCTTACTACAGCACTATTGTGTCGTGGAGCCGATCTAGAATGCCCTTTTCAGTAGACTAGTGGTAGATATCTCACAGGCAAAGAAGGTGGTGCATTTATAGGCACAGTTCGTCTGGCGAACGAGCATGAGAAATTGCCGACAACTTAGTTTAGGCTTCTTCAACACTCAGAATGGCTACTGAAAAGAGAACAGCAGGGCTGGCGGCTAGGGCTTACAGTGCAGGGTTAAGGGAAGCGAAGCAGGGAGAAGCCAAGCAGAGCGACGAGCATGATAGAGGAAAAAGCTGCATGCGTTTGTTGCTATTGCATGCATACATTACCGTCAATAGGTATGCGCCAGAGTTGCAAGATAGAGGGGAAGGCGATTATATAGCAACGGTGGCCGGCGAGAAGCCGACGCTACCTAGGTGGGGCTCCCGAGAAGCACCCTACCGCGCAGCCATGGCTACACCTGTACAGTGCTTACCCCTACACGACCCAGAGTTCGTCCGCACTTCAGGGGCCCCAATCAAGAGCTGGCCGCCACGGAATTTCCGCTCGAAGGCGAATTTGGCGGAGCCTCTGCCACTGCAAGCGCAGGACGCAAACATCCAACGCCACGAAACGATGTTCCCGGCAGGCCTAAATCATAGAAGTGTAGCACTTCCTGGTCACCCGAATGCATACATGAAAAAGCTGCACATACCCATATGTAAATGTGTATATAATGAGTGCAACAGGGGCTGGCTGATTACAGCCATGCACATCCTGCAGCTGAGTATGGTCGCTCTCCAGTGGCACGATGGAATTAACTACTACCAAAACTTTTGTTACAGAGGGGAACCGGGGGGCGTGTGCTCAGTGCATGTACAAGCTGAAAGCGGCGATGGATTTGCTGTGTATGCGGGTGAGCAGAAAGGAGCAGGAATGCAGGGAGCCTCACAGCTTTTGTCGACAGCCCTGAAGACCCCCAAAGCCTGGCCAAGCAATCGGGAGGCGTTGGCAGCGTCCGCGGGGACAATAAGGGTATTGCTGCCTTCCGCCAGTCTGCCGAAGGCAGCGACATAATTCTCAGCAAGCTGCAAACTCAGCGCGTGCATTCCACCTGCAAGCAGGGGGTGAGGACACACGAATTGCGTGAATGCCTCCATAGAATGTCCATGCCTTGGGAAACGACGGGATTCGTGGCCACTATGGTCAAGAGAGAGTTTAGGCGAACAGAACAGATGCTGTTCTGCTCCCCTTCCCGCTACAGCACACCTACTTCAGTACACCAAAAAGGGAGAGGAAAGAAAACGAAGGAACACAAAAAAACGGGCCAGAAATGCACAATGGCCTGCACACCTGGAATGTTGGTTGTGTCGGCTATCTTTCGAACACTTTCTGCCGCCGCCGCTGCCCGCTGCCTTACGGCCTCTGCCTGCCCCTCAGCATTTAAAATTGTGGCTTCCTTCTGTCCCAATGCGATGTTCACAAGCCGTGCCCTCTCTCCTTCGCTGCGCAGCACTTCAGCCCTTTTCAGCCTCTCCGCCTCGGCCTATTTCAACCGATACAGCAGCACCAGCAGCAGCTACGGCTATGTCGTCGCAAGCAAGAATCGAATCGCCGAACCAAAGGCAACGAAAAAGACGCTAGCTTAAGCGGCAGAGGAACATTTTGACGGCGATTAGTACGAGGAATGCCAACACAGACACATATGTTCGTCCAAACGGCTAAAAGAGCCCAAACAACTATTGCTCTCGCGCGCCTCCGGAAATCAGTCAGAAGCTCCTTTGGGTTAAAGCGCGCACATACAGCAATTAGTCTGGAGGACCAACACACACTGGAAGCAAAAACAACTGAAACGCATAGAACATTCAGCGTGCATTTCCCTATGCGTGTAACTTCGAACAGCTCAAAAGTAGCAGACTATAGCCTGTAGTACTGCTGCAAAAGTATACCCAAGGATAGAGGCGGAAGCAAATGCAACACAGACAAGAAGCACGACAGAAAGGGGAGACAAGTATGCAGCAGAGGGCGTCACCAGACACAGCGGCGAAGCGATCGAACTGCGAGGATATGGAAGAAAAGCAAAGAGAAGACGATCGACAGAACAACGTAAAAGGCGGCAGAGAATTCAGTACCTGTCGCTCCATCGCACTTCTGATGTTCGTTGGCAGGAGAATGTCACGAATTTCATAACGGAGGCATGTCAAGCCCCACGGCCCTGCTGCTGTGTTTATCGCCTGAAAGGACAAAACCAAGAAAAACCAAGAAGATTGCGGCTTGCAGTGCTTCTTTTGCTTCCTCTCATGCACAAAGCGGCATGCCGCAAAATTGGCGCGAAATGGGTTCGAACATGAGTATGGAGAAAGCGGCCAGCCTTAAACAATACAAACAGCTAAATACGCCGGCATACGCCGATTTATATATATATATATATATATATATACAATAAGGGGGAAACTGAGTTACTTGGGTGAAACACATTGAACACAGTACCGTATCTCAGTGGAAGTGCGTATTATGTTAGAGTTCCGCACTTCTACAATTGTCTTGTTAAGGGCATTCCGCTCGAGGAATGTGCTGTCCAGAGTTAGCTTCCCCAGTTCGGATCGCATGGTTGTTTGGGCCAGCTGGGTGACAGCGAAAATGGGATTTTCAACTCCGTACGAAGCCTGAAACATAGAGCGAGTCGAAGTGCACGAATGTAGGCTTCAGGAATGAGGCGTGAATGGCTTCGTGAGCAGTATATTGCATTGCGTGTGTTTTTATAGATCGAAAGAGCACATTTTTCCTTGCTCCTCCGTAAGGGTGTCTGCAACACTGCGATTTCTTGTAAACCTTTGCAGTACACTACGAAATCAACTAGCGGACAATATGAGCCCTTTTATTCACCAAGGTCCTTTGTACGCGAAATAAACCTTCAAGAAGGGGGAAGGAATGGGAGAAGGCAAACCCCTTAACCCACTTTGTACGCATCTTTTATTTGCACGTATAGAACTCCGTCGATCTGCAAAGTGACCTGTACGTACATGCGAGAACTGAGCAAGTAATATGGAATAGCAATGAAGCAAGCACCTTCAGGTCTGCATTATTCAATGTGACACGCAAGCAACTGCTGCCAAAGTAATGCAGAGAAGACTGCAGTCTTGAGAAACTCTTGTCCAGCTATTGCTTATGTTCACTGTTTCACCCCACGCCTGGAAGCTCACATTGTCGCGCGTGATGGCTGTTTGATTGGGAATGGGCAAGGCCTCCTCTTTCAACGAGTGCACATACGCCAATCTGTCCACTAAAGGGATCAAGAAGTGGAGACCTGGGGTTAGCACCCGATGGAAGCGGCCAAATCTGCGGCGAAATACAACATGGAAGCAATAGAGCCATCCTAGCCATACCGCGGCATCATGGGAACGTTAAATGCCCTCTTGACAGACAACCATGCGATATAATGTTCAAGTTAAAAGACTAAGACGCAGAGCAAGCAAGAGCTTCTCCGCCACTCATGCTCCACTTCTTCCTGTCCTGCTATCTTTGCCTATTTCCTGGGGGGGAGTGTGAATGTCTGTTTGCCTGTGAATACATTTCGTTCAAGCTCTAACTGTACTGTTCATCAAAAACAGCCAATATGAGCAAAGGACACGGCTTGACAGATCGTGCTTGATCACACAGCCGGCTGCTTATTTGCTGCCTCTCCCGCTGACGCAGAGCGCGTACAAACAAGTAGGTTTCCCACCTCTCCACCACATAAGCCATCTGATGGGGTACTGAAACAAATCCAAGATGATTTCGTGCAAAAAATGAATCTGGCAATCGCCGGTTGTTGCCCGACGTGAAGCTGCGTGAACATGCACGCAGTGACATTGGAAGCTTCCTATGATGCGATGCAGTGCTCCCAAAAGACCCGTCACCTAGTCCTGTCCGTTGTGCCCCTCCCGGAGTACTTGAGAAAAAGTGCCTTTGGTTGTCGAGGACGCCAAGAGCGAAATGCGCTTCCGCAGCTCGACGGAGACCGCCGTTCCCATTTGAACCAGGACACACCAAGAGATGGTTTTTGGTGACGTGGGTCCGGCAAGTAGGCGCAGACAGCCACGCCCTTGCTAAATATGATGATAAACCAAGTGAGGATGCTGTGGAAGAAAGGGCTTCTCGTTCGAAGCCCTTGAGGCGAATCATTGCCCTCCTCCGCTGTGAATTTTCGCAGTTTTGCTACAAAACGCTCGCTACAGCCTTGGCCTTGCCGTTGCCAAGCGTGTATAGACTGCAAAAATTTAAGACATAGAGGGCAGGGAAGGCGATAATATTTCTCTCGCCACACCACTGCACACGGGGCTCGCAGGGGGGTCCCGCATCGAGAGATGAGCTCGCTTCCACCAGGCATACACAGAAGAATAAAAAACAACAAATGAATGGTTTCCCCTTAATTCTGTTTCCGCTAAATATATAGATGTCCTAAACTGGGAGGCGTCTCTCGATTCATTCACATTCCATCCAGCTGTGTGGGGCCCCAGCCGAGATGGGTAACGTAAGGTCTTACAGGCGGCGGCTTCCAACGCAGCTTAACGTATTGCCATGTTTCTAAGCGAGTGATAGTTATTTACCCATTGACATGGAGGCAGAGGAAGGCAATATTGGCTGTCTCCGGAACAATTCAAAGGACCCTCAATCGAATAAAAGCTTCACAATATTGCCGCATATCGCCACGCAGGTAGAAATTTCACAGCTGGGAGGTACCTGAGGAGAACAAGGTACTCCCTTTCAGTGTAGTGGACTTCGTCAGCCGTTCACTTCCTAGCACCTGCGACAGCCTCTCCTCGTTTTATTTGACTACTATTTAATTTCCCCTCTCCTCTGCGCGCGAACGAGTAGGCTTCAAACTCCATATCAAAGATAAATGTGAATCTCTTGAAGGGGACGCGTTCATCATGATCTAGCTGGAACTGGTATTTGCGCTACGAACGGTTTTGCCATTGTTGGAGTCTTTAGGAAACTCTTCATCCGGTGTGTCAGAAGTTGACAATCGGTTAAATTGACCTAGCGTCTGCAACATAAGTAATCTCCAGAATATTTCCTACTTCCCACCAGCCTGCGTAGATCCCCCGGCAATCCAGATGCTAGTGGTCTCTTTCCCCCAGACGGCATTAGTAACAGGCGATTATTCATTGCTTTTTCGAGCTGGTAGCTTGCTGAGAGAGCATCAATCCAACTACTGGATCATTGGCAGCAGTTGATAGGAAGACGAGCCTGTAGAAGTAAGCGAGAACGAGTACTTCAAAAAATGCGACGTACCGGATGGGGCCTATGGCAGTTTCCTCCTTACTCTCTATCCAAATAAGTTTCTTACATTTCTTCACTAAATCCATCTGGGGGGGAGAAGTGTGCGCTCCACTGGGTCATCTACGGCATCCCTCGGATTGCGTTGTGGTGAACTGCCCAACATAGAAGTCCCGTACTACCACGATATAACGCAGTCCTTAAACTCCCATTGACATTAATATTCTCGTGGACTGTGGTGTCGTATGCTCCATCGGCGGAGTATAGCCACCGACACTGGATATTGCACCGGCGAGTACGCGGGTAGGTTGCAGCTCCTCGCCGTTGGTTGATATCTGACACACATCGCAGCCTGTATCAAGAAGCGCTAGCAGCTCCTGACCATTAAGACAAACATCGATATGCACGGGATTCAGTTGAGGCTGATCTGCAGCTGCGGCTCTCACCTCTTTCGGGCAACGGCGTTTCCCTGATAGCTCCGTTTCCTTCCTTAGCAGCAGTGCTCGAAGAACTGCTTCTCCAGGTGTTCTGGCTTTTTCATATTTACGGGTTTTTTATGCTTCACATAATTCATACGAAGTGCTTGACTTTGTTTATTCCACAAGAAGCGGCACCGCCTTTCAATGCGTCCGCACGGATTTCTCAGTGGCGAACTCCCCGGCTGCTGTCGGCTACCACTTTTTATCTTTTTCTGGGTGCGCATGCACAACCCCAATTTATCTAGGCACAATATGCCCGTCGCCGCCATCGCGCTCTCTTCTTCCTCAACTAAGGAGGTGGATGTGGAATATTTCCTATCTTTGATGCATCAGTATTCCATCTTCTCAGAGGAGTCAACCCTTCCGGTCCGGTTCCCAGTTACTTGCATGTGGGGGGCAGACCTGCTTTGAAAAATTGACTACAGAAGATTTTTTGTTCACAAAGGGCTGATACCTTACTGTCTAGGGCTTTACCGGTCAATTATTCAGGCATTCTCAGTTCTGCCTTAGGCTGTTCCGTTGGATCCTTGGAAATTAACCTACATCGCAGCAAGTTGGCAGGCCTTCACAGTCCCGATGCACTCCGGAGAAGTGGCACTCTTGTTAAGATATCCCGTGATCGTGCCTCCTTTGAATATCGAGGTTCCCACTAGCAACTGTAGCTCTCCGGAAGAATATTGGAGACGGAAATACAACTATAGAGAAGAACTCTTCGTGGTGCCCGTCCTATCAGGACGGTGGGGAAAGGCGGCGGAATTCTTCATGAATTGTTCTCGCCGTGAAGATATTTTCCGCTGGATGGGATACTGAGTTTGTGCCAAGAGGATGGCGCCCGCAGTCGTTGGCTACCTACCTACCAGAGGGCATACCCTGGTCAAGCTTTATTATCCAAGGAGAGAAAGGGCTGACATTTGGATTGAGCTTCTGGGTACAGTATGTAGAAGTTCTCTTTGTATTGTTCGAGTGCCTCCTGTACCAGGCGCTGCTATGCACTAGGCTACCCCGCTGTGAAGGTGCGGTTCGATACTCGTTGCTGTCTTGATGAATCATGCAGCCCAACCAGTCAGAAGAATTAAGCTGAGCTTTTCTAAAGGGCATATGAGCTACTGTCCGGTTTCCAGACATTCTGGGTACAGCGGCCCAGCCTGGGACTGGATTGGAGAAGGCCACCTCACAACATTTGCAAAACATCTCTTTGGAACTAATGCTCACAGACACCTTCACATCCAAGCACAACAAAACCCCGTTTGTTGTCCGCACTGACGCTGTAGAGAATTGTTGTACTGCTGCATTCGTGCAGGCTGCCTAATAGGGCCAAGTCAGCGTTCGTGCACAAGGAGACTCTGTAATACTATTGGTGAACGCATGCTTGGTTCTTCGAAGGCATCCTGCACGGCAGAAGGGAAAAAGCAATTTCGGACAAACCATGCTTCACAAGTGTTAAGCACTTACTTGGGACTCTGTCTCCACAGCTAGGAGATTTGCGCATCAGAGAGATCACGGCCTGTTGTGCTGCATGCACAGCGCGTGCCGAGAGTTGTTCCACAACTTGTCCCGCCGTAGCCAACCTGCAAATAAGTAAAAATATATAAACAAACTTTATAGAGGCATTGATAAAGAATCGTTACGCTTGCGGACACGGACCTCTGATGGACAAAGCATCATTGGGCGTGGTTTCGGCTGCCCTGTGGCAAGGCACAAATCACTCCAAATTCCAGGCTACACTACATTCCAATCCTGTGTAAGCTGTCAGCTGTGAAAGTGTGCTTAAGTAATAATAAAGAATGCGTCGCTTCGTTTCACTTTTAGTTGCCAACCTGGCTGTTATTTCGGTGGCGAGCACAGCTCTGGAACCAGTGGACCCTTTG